CTTTACATTATGGTAACTTGGCGTTTTTTTTGGCGACCAACTCTCCTACAGCAACCCTCTATTTTTTTTCCGCCATTTTGTCTTCACGAAGTAAAGACATGTTTCTTTTCTTTTTATCTACTGAACACTTCTTCCAACAATCTAGTAGCCGAATTACACTTATGCTAGAAATTTTATCAAACAAAACTGCTTAATCATGACAAATATTCACTGCAAAATTGGGAAAAAGTGCACAATACCATACTCCTTACGCGTTTTTCAAAATAACACATACACATAAACCATGTACACGCCGATATTTTTACTTAAAAAAAACATCCCAGAATTGCACAAAATGGCATTGCGCACACTCTTTTACTATATCCATGTACACTGCTTTTTCTCATAAATTAGAAAAATTTCACGAAAAATCCATGACAATTTTCTCAATCTTTAAACCCGGTAAAAGAACATATATGAAATTACCTGATCGCGAAAAAAGTATTACCCTTTTCAAATATGAACATTTCCACATATAAAATAAATAAAATATCCAAAAACATTTCCCTCTAAATCATCTATTACATTATACACGTCACCAACGAATTCATCCGCAAGCATTACAAATACTTAGTATCAAATATTAAATTATTTCATGCACGTTTACTTCAACTTAAACGTATACAAAATAACTATCATTTAATTAAAATATCACTAAAACCATGTACACGTCGACTTATTTTACTTAAGAAAACATCCCAGAATTGCACAAAAATGGCATTGCGCACACTCTTCACTATATCATGTACACTGCTTTTTTCTCATAAATTAGAAAAATTTCACGAAAATACATGACAATTTTCTCAATCTTTAAACCCGGTAAAAAGAACATATCTGAAATTACCTGATCGCGAAAAGTATTTACCCTTCTAAATATGAACATTTCCACAATAAAATAAAATAAAATATCCAAAAACTTTACCTCTAAATCATCTATTATATATAAACGTCACCAAGGAATTCATACCGAACCATACAAATACTTAGTGTCAATATTAAATTATTTCCATGCACGTTTACTTCACTAAAACGTTATACCAAATTCACAAACATAAAATTCCAAAATAACTATCATAATTAAAATATAATTAAATTCAAACACTGAGCACCTACATAAATTAATAAAAATTACCTTACAATCCAATTACTTTAAACTAAATCATGCTAAAACAATTTTCCCAAAATACCAAATTCCTTTCCACCTTACATTTAGAACAATGCATAAAAAAATAATATCAAATAATAAAAATACTAACTTACCTAATCTTCTCAGAATCTTGATACGTGTCGATAAACTTTTCTTCTTTCTGTTCAGGATCTTTAAAATCATACTTATATTTCACAGCAAGGGTACCAGGTAAAATAAATAACTTAATAAAATATCTTTATTCTATTTCGCACAACCTTAAAAAACATTTATTACTACCTTTTCAATACACTAAATATCCATTTCGATTCACTTTGTTACGGCCATGGGATCCAAAAATTCACGAACACTGTTTCACACAACACAGAATAAAGCCAATACAAAATTTCCAATTTTTTTCCTGTTTCCCCCTTTTCCGATTAAGACGTAATTCGTATTTAATATCACATGACATATCCCATGATCTCTCATTTCCCTCACACAAAATAATGCGTAATCGGAAGAGTACTGCTCCATTATTACCAAAGTCCCAGGTAGTACCTTTATCGCCTCCATGTCGCCAACTACCAGTTACCATATTGTAAAGGTCAACCAAAGAACCTAATGACAGAAATTAAACGTATATCTGTACTTGCATAAGAATAATTTCAAATTTAGAAATATTCTATCTGTGATTTTTAGGATCTCCTGATTCACATAATACTTCCTTTTCAGATTAATATAAAATTTATTGTGAATGTTCATACGTGATCTTACAAAATATTATTTTGGTGCCTTTGAAATATCCAGATTGCTTTCAAACATTTATTTTAAGAATGTCAATTTGACAATATAATGTCTGCCTTTGAATCCACGGTAGCCGACCTATAAGGTGCCTCCATAATAATGAGACCACCGTTCCGACCTTAGCAGTAGCCAATGCCTATAAATGGCTAGAGCTCGCCATTTGGAGGGACTTTTAAAACGATCTAGTAAGGTCTGGATGCAATGGGGAATCATTCTTGAAGTCTATGGGTAGTCGGTGGGTTTTGAGCAGCGTTCTTTCAAGAAGCCTTCAACTCCCGCTTTCTCGTTTGCCTCATGAGAAAACAGGATCAGAAGAATTATAGGATAATTTTGCCTTTCCCCAAATCTTCAACTCCAGACTCGAGTTTTACAAGTCCTACACGATAATTAAGTCTTGGCCATTCCTATACCGCGAAGAATAATCTTTAGAATGGCAGACATCTTCACGGTTTCTGCAGACGATTATAGACGTGAAAAATTCCTCAAAAGTAAATCCAAAATTAGAAAGACACTAATACAGTTGGTAAAAAAGCATTTCGTGGAATGACTGTGTGATAATGGTTGTAAGTAAAAAGTAAGAAAGAAAAAGTGAAAGAGAGAGAGGTCGCCTTTTTCAATTTACCATCAATCACTCAGTAGTATTTTTCAAGGGTCGTTTTCAGAATGATATTGTTTCTTTGAAGTAGCTGAATAACATTTGATGTTAACATTAGTCGAAAGATCAGGAACTTTCCATCCCTGATATTACATCTCAAATTTATAATAAATTTTTGTAAATAAAGGAGAGGAAGATAATTAAAGCGAAAATCAATTTCAAGTTTTAAAAAGAATAACGACACTAAGCCTTTGAGGTAGTATGAAAACTTCCAATATGAAAAGAGAAAGCGTTCTTGAATGATACGTTTTTTTTGTGTGTTGTTAGCTCATACAACGGCTTTTTCAAAGTGGATATTTCATTTACACTTTCTCAGTTTCGTTTTTAACTTTCTGCTTAAATCATTTCTTATCCCTTTTTAAAATAGTTTCCAAAGTTTTTTTAATAGTCGTTTCATTGACTGAGCATTTTATTAGTATTACAGCAATCTGGTTAATATCTTCTTCTCCTGAAGATAGTAAATCTGCCATACATATATTAATTAATTGCATTTATTTGTCTTCTAAAATGTTCTTGATTGAATTTTGTTTAAATGTGGAATTTACAGTAGTATTTAAAAGCCTATAAATTATTTATAAAATGAAACTTTTCAAAAATAAGGATTCAATATTTTTTGGAACTTTTCTTTAAAGAACTCCAATATAATTTAAGAGTTTAATGTTTTTTACATTTTAGGAATTCATCAGGTTATTAGACGTGTTTCTGTCAAAGACATGTCACAAATAAATCAAGTATTCCCACAAATGTTACAGAAAGAATCATTATTTTACAATCTAATTAGTTCTAAAACTGATTCCAAAGAGATAAATAACTTTAATTAATTCATTTTTCGTTTAAAATGATCTGAAATATCCGCATTCCATTCTTATGGAAAGGCATTTACAACGTAGTATCTGTTGTATAAGAACTCTACTACTAAAATCAAGAATCCATAGATTCAGCTCTATTTCTTTCTCTATTTTCTTTAAACCAAAACAATTACTTGTAATAAGTTCTTCAGTAGCACAAAATAACAACTTTTACCCCCTCTTTTTGGGTAAAGAGTAACGCAAAATTTAAGAAAAGAATATCTATTTTCGAAATATTTAATTATTGCAAATATAACTGTAAATTATTAAATTATTTATAAACTTTCCTTGTGGATTTTGCATGGAAATCCTTAATTCATTGATTTATTTTCAAAGAGTTTTAGAAATTAAGGGTAAAAGATTAAACCTATAATGGTGATTATATTGTTACGTTATTTTCTTCCTTCAAGTTCGTACGGGGTTCGCAGATTTGGAGTGTATAATGACGACACTGGATGAAGTATCGAAACACACTTTATTTATCAATATTAATCAGGACAGCTCCAAAATCACTTTTACAGTTGTCGAACTGTCATAAGCACGCTGGCACGTTCAGCGACACAGCCTTCACACTGTCAGGCAATAACGGTGGAGACAGCTTCACTGCAAAGCACCCGAGTACAGCTTCCAACTCTTCAGTTCAGTCGTTCTCGGAACTCCACGTACTCTCGAGACTCTCCACGTGATGCACTCGACGATCAATTCGGCACTAGACTTTGAGACACTCGCTCAGTGACTGACTATCAGCTCGCTAGACGAGGCACACACACTGACTGCGGACCAGCAGGGTTTATATAGCTTTCGGCTTGTGTTCGGGAACATTCTGGGCTAAACCGGTAAGAATTCATTCCAGAAGGTTCTCCATCCGTCCATGGTATATAGCCAGTTTTGTCGCCAAATGGGCGATTTCTTGTCAAATGTGGCAACCTTACCTTCCCTGCCATTTTATGGCAACCCTAAAACTGCTTTGCGGGGAAGCTACCTTACCGTGCCTTAACATTTCGTAACAATATTATATCCTATTACTTCTACTTTAAGGGTCCGGGTTCGAATCCCACAGAAGGTATGGGGGTAATTTGTCCGTCCCTTCATAGGAGGCAACGGTAGCCCCCCTATTAGGTGCCTCCATAATAATGAGACCACCGTTCCGACCTTAGCAGTAGCCAATGCCTATAAATGGCTAGAGCCCGCCATTTGGAGGAAGGAGAGACTTCTACTTTCAGTGAGCATTAGAATATTTTGTTATTGCGTGCACTGCAAAATGAATCCAAGATATTTTTAAATCCAAATGCTGAATTCTCTAAAAATGCTAGAATTTTTTGGTGATTTTGACATTAGTCGTTTTGATATCAAATGAAGAATCTCAATCGATGGATACAAAATGGCAGTATATCTTGAAATGCCAATAAAAACTATCAAGAATAATAGGACTTTTAATCTTTCAAAAAAAAAAAAAAAAAATTTTTTTTCGTATGATAAAAATTTAGAAAGAATTTAAGTAAATGTGAAATTTTTAATTCGATAGGATATCAGAATACACCTGCTCAGAGAAATAAGAAGAACTGTAAGTGATTTACTGTTTACTACAATCGACTCAAAGCCAGCTATTTCGGCTAAAGTGCATGAATTGTTCCAACAGGTAGGAAAGTTTGCTTTCTGTATTTTATATCAAATCAGTTCTTCCTGTTTATTATCAAGTTGCTTACGAAAATTGTTTTAATACTTTGTTAATTATAGTAGAATTCCGATAATCCGCTCGCCTAGAATTTGCGGATTGTGGGTCATATCTTCCTGAGTTTTGTTTACAGTCTTCTCTTTCTAATTTTTGCATTAAATTTGGATTGTTTGTGCATAAATTACTGGACAGAAAACATACAATCTAAGCCTTAAAACATCCTTAAGAATTATTTAATCAAGATTTATTAACAAAAAAACTATTATATTTTTTAAAAACCAGTGAAATTACTTTTCAAATAATCTATATGCTTTTAAAGAGGAAAAGGTAGATAAATAAATAGATACACTTTACCAAAAGCCACAGTGGTAAAGTTTTTCCCAAATTAAATCTCTGCGCTAATTCTGTCCTTACATTCGGCGGATGTGCAAATGGATTAATAATACTATTAACAATTTACAAAAAGGTGTCAGAATTGAAATTTTGGATTTATTAAAGGAAAAATTTATTGTTTTTTAATCCGCTTGTTACCACGTTTTCTATTTTTAATCTCAGCAAAATCTCTACCAATGCTACTTACGATTCTATCCCTATTTACGCCTATGTAAACTAAATTGGTCATTTAGCGGAATTAAAGCAAACAGTTACAAGGTGCATTTAAACCATCTGAAAAGTTATCGTCAAACAAATTCTTTAGATATATTAACCACAATAATAAATTAATAAATTAATTTAATAGACAACAGATTATACATGCAAAAATAGGGGCTTCTTCTAAAATGAAAAAATATGCAAAGATTAACAGTTCGTGCTTACTGTATCCCCCCCGAAAAAAAAAGTCCTTACGCATGCTAAATAATTTCGATTTATCGATTAAAATATGTTATATACATTACATTTTCGTTAAAATATTTGTATTAGAAAAACAATTGCTGTTAAATTTACAATATTGCATTTTCTAAAAATCGAATATGTTTTTTTATTTTCATTCAAAAATGAGCAAGGTTTACAAGAATTTGTGGATTAAACGGTCGCAGATCACCAGAATTCTACTGATTTAACAAGGTTAAGAAAGCTCAGTGCATAAATTATATGTCTTATTTCAGGCTGAAATACCAATTCCAAGCAGAGCTAGACTAACTTCATCTTCAAGATCCAGCTCTGTTACAAGTTTACATTCTAGAACTTCATCTAAAGCATCTACGCCAAACAACAGAGCAAGTTTATCAAGCAACTCCAGCCCTAAGGGAAGTGGACGCAGTTCTAGAACTGAAACAATTTCACCATCTGTAGTAATGTTAGGAAGTGGCTCCTTAGGTAATTATTTTTAATAAATATACATAAAGATTTACAGTGTGTTTGAGATAGATGGTTACAAAGTTTAGAGCACCATCAAACTGTAGATTACAACAGGAAAGAAGCAGTTTATCCTGGCTCCCTAAACTAATTTTAAGGCTAAATTTCTAGTTGCAATATCTTATTATGAGACTCAAAATGATGCTGTTAACGTGCATATCTGGTAGCTTACTCAATCACAAGCAAGATAGTGAATGATTAGAAATCCTACATCGCCAAGGTGACCGATATAGAAACTAATGCTCGATTTTATTTGAATGTTCTATTCTAGTGTTCGAACTACTGATTGAAAATGATAACCTTTAAAATTCTAAAAACGTTTCAGCACAATGTATTTTGGCAACTTTTGTTTGATTTACTTTCTTGGGTAAACATTTACTTCCAGTTACAGATTTATTTAAATTGAGATAGGAGATTCTGAAAAATAGGGCTTGACAGGGAATTCCATTAATGTAAATATTCGAAGCGCAGTTGTAATGTTGTACCATTTATTTCTTAACTGAAATTCAACATTTAATTAATATAATTATAATTGTTTCATTTTATGGTTTAATATTTATTAAGTTTGAGTACAGTGTACTATGTTTTCTCGAAAATAACTCCGGATCTTACATCTCAGTTTTTGCTTTAAAAGACATATTAGGACTTATTTTTGGAGTATAACTCATTCTTCCATGCAAAACAATTAATATTTATCCATTTGGCAACAATACACTTTATATCATATATTCAATAATCTACATTTATAAATGCATTCAAATACACAAATGTTGTTCACGTATCTTTTACAGGAACATAATCATTCCAATCAAGGTCCAAATCCCAGATTTGTGGCCCACATTTCTTAGAACTCCCAATTTTTTAGGACCACTGGCCCTAACCTCTCATGCCTAGCAAGCTAGTTGTCTTTAAATGAGCACTTATAGTCTACATAGTTTGCATTTTAGTGAACTGATGACACATCTGTTAGTGATTTTATCCTATGAATTTTTCATCTAAAATCTCTTATAGGCTAAGTCTCCCAAAGTTTCCATGCAGATTTCTCTTCATTCTATTTTCTGCGTAGCTATTGATATCCTAATACAATATATCCTTCAACGATTGTAATATCAAGACTTTGGAAATAGGCAGTTATTCCTGTGGGGATTATTATTCGATGTATTCTTCATTTTAGAAGGATGCTATTCATATATTTGGAGTAGATAGAGCTAACTAAATCCTAAATTAGCAGACCTATTTGTTCATCTCTCAAAACAAATGGTACATTATATCGACCCACTTCTTTACAGATGCTTGTGTGCACCAGGCCAAATCGGTTTCAAAGAATATAAATATCTGGAACACTATCAATCCTATCTTTCTTGCTCTCAGTATGATTAGAGGCGGGGCTTTTTCTTTCCATCCAAGTAACTTCCTAGGACATAGGTAACATGTACACTTTCTTCGCCAATAGAGTTTATGTTGCTTGAGGTGGCATCCTTCTAATCAGTTGTCCACTGAAATCCTTGACTCATAAATACTGCAGTTTCGTTAATCATACATTGATATTTTAATCATATTGAAGAGCTAATGTTTAGAAAAGTCAATGTCATTAACAAAAGACTTAAAAGCAAAGCAAGTGTACGTTTAACCGTTTGATTTTTTTTTGGCTGTATCTGGCTATGTGTGATTTATTTGAAGGTAAAATCTGCATAAAAAATTTTTAAATAATATATTTCAAGTTGAAAGTAATTTCAACTTGAAAATTAGCATCAATCTAAAGCTGAAATAATTTAGATTAAGTCACATTGGACAACAAGTTTTAAATGTTTAAAGGTGTGGATGATCCTTATGCTTTGAAACTTGAAGGAATGTAATCGATCAAAAGGGTTTGTGCGTCATTTCAAAAAAGGCCTTATTTTCAAGTAAGAATGTTAGAACATGACATGCATAAATTTTATATGCATCTTGAGTTTAAGTACGAAAATCAAATTTTTGCTTTTTTTTTTTTTTTTTTTTTTTTACTCAGTACATCCATGTATGGTAACAGATCCTTTCCTCTCTTACAGGTGACCTGAAGAAGTAAAAAGTAATAACCTTCAGACAATCTCCTTTATTCTATCAAAGTAAAACTGCAGTTATGTATTTACCTGTAAAAATTGCCAACCTAAACAGAAACAAATTTTTATTATTTCATATTTTTGTACTTTACATAATTTTGTATTATTTTAACAAAAAAAAAAAAAAAAAAAAAAAAAAAGATTTAGAAAAGTTTTCTGAATAAATTTTTTTAATAACTGCGATTTGTAACATATAATTTGTTTTTATAACTAATTGAAATTCAAGCTGTTTTTATTTTTTAATTCTAAGCGTCTTAAAAGTGCATTCCCGGCTTAAATCTTACTATATTGTATCTCATTTTCTGTGTCTAGAAAAAGCTCCTTAATTACTTCTAGAATATGGTTATAGGCCATATAAGTATACACTTATAGGACCTTTTCATTCAAGTAAAAAATAGTGCTTGAAAAACAGAGAAAGGAAAGAATTCTTAATTCTGAACAAAGAAAACAAAGAATTCCGAACATTAAAAATTATTTTAGAATTAAAAGAAAAGAAATTATTTTTCTTTTCTTACATCATGCTTTTTCTCTAGCGCTTCTTCGCCTTCCTTGTTGCTTTCCAAGCTATTTTTGTTACAGCTCATTACAGTTGAAATAAAAGATTTTAGTCATCACTGGTGTCTTCAGTAAACCAGTTTCTATCGATTTCTATATATTTTTGCATCAAAGTGCTGCCACTGATTTTTGATAATTTCAAACAATTCATTTTCATCAATAGTATTTGTATACTAAGGGCCCTCAAAACTTGAATTTTAAAGCTTGCTCTCTTAAAACAGTGCTGAACAGAACTTTGTAATATGAATTTAATAGCCTTCATTATCCACTGAATGGCACTTAATACATTGACACATTATGCGAGCTGACTGTTATTTTCCAAAGTGTTTTGAAAAAGAACATACCATTAAAAGTTTTCTGTAATGAAACTAGAAGCTTCTAATTATACCTTGGTCCAAAGGCTGTAATACTGATGTTGCTTAGGTAGGGGAAAACACTAATTTCACTGATTTCAGTTTTACAATTGGTGTGTGGACTGGCGAATTGTCAATACATAAATAGCAGAATCGTCCTATGTTTGACAACTAAACCTAAGCTTTGCAACATCCATGACTTTTTGCTGTGATGCCAATGGACTGACAAAGTTTTCAGACTGATGTATTTGAAGCACCTTGGTTTTGTGGCCTTTTTCAGACAGTTACTTTGTTATAGTGTGGAAGGAGAGTTTGTGAGACTTTGGAGCTTTTACCACCATAGCACTTTTCTTCTTTGAAGCAAAAGGTTTTATTAGGCAAAATTCGAAAAGATAATCGAGTTTCTTCTGCATTGTAGACGATTTTAACCTTATATCCTTCACAAATTTCATTTAGCTTTTTTATCTGTTCTGTTACATATTGCATAGCTACTGATTTTTCTTTACCACAAACAGTCTTAAAAGTAATATTATATCTTTGCTTAAATTTATCTAACCAAACATTTTATATGTTGAAGTTATGTCTCAGGCTTTCCAAAACAATAATACTCCAGTTACATGAATATTGTTTATTCTTACAGAACAAAACCAATTGAACATTATTATATCAATTTCACATTTCAGTTTTTCTAAATTTTATGGCCTTAATGTTCACTTGAATCAGCTAATCCCTAATATTTTTATTCCTTCTCTATCCTTTAACCAATGACTTAATTTTTACTTATTCCAAATTTCTGCCCTTAATCTCTCAAACTAAGCTTTTCAATTCCTTAAACATGAATTACATAAAACTTTTTGTTTTAATGTTAATGTTTTTCTCTTTGAAGCTAGGCTAGATAATGCATTTAAAAATAACTCACAAGTACAAAACTACATGTTTTTGGTTCCCCAGTCCTGGTAAAAACTAAGAATGATAGAAGTTTTGGCTATATCCCCATTGCGAGATGCCTGTGCTTTGGAAGGTGGCCAGTCATTTCACCACTTTTTCTTTCCCTTTGGTCTTTGTCTTGGATTGCCCTCCCAACATTTTCCCTCCCTCCTCTAATGAGAACTATAGCAAGAATTGGATTTTGAATGAATAAAATATTTTCATTCTACTGCAACTTGCTTTTTTCCAATTTTGTATTGTTGTCCTTTTCAGCAGTTTTCAAAAGATAGAGATTAACTTTTTGTTGTTCTTTTGTCACAAAACTATCTTTTACTCAGCACAAAATTACCTTTGAAACCTCAGATGACTACTAACAAAGAATATTTCTATTTTTAGTCCAAAGGGGCTTTGTCCCTGAAGGACTATTATTTTCGTTTTGCGATTTTGCGTCGGACTCCTATAAACGTCGGTTCACTTTTCAAACTGTTGCCACAAAAGTTAGAGTCCTGCATTATATTTGAAGAAATTAAATAATGAAAAATCTGCATAAATGATTGTCTATTTCTCGCATTGTGATAAACAACGGTACATAGAGCCATCGAATTTTGAATGACGAAATCCTACTGCGAATATGGGCATCTGAAATCCCAAATTTGGAATTTGTTTTATTATAGATTTTATATTTTGTAAAACTTTAACGAATTTTTGATTTACAAACTCAATGCTTTAAAAAGCGAGAAATGGCAACGTTATATAGAAAAAATTTTTTTATCTCCAGCTCGCGAGACTGTGTATATTGGAAATTCTAAAGATATGCTTAATTTAACATTATTTTGCGATATTGCTCTTGAACTGAATTTTATGGTTTAAGTGCAAAGAACATGATATTTAATAAATAAAGGTAACACTCAAAACGTTAAAAAAATGCCCCTTTGGACATAATTTAAAATCTGAAACATTTCAGTTTTTTTTTTTTTTTTTTTTTTTTTTTTTTTTTTATTGATTTTTTTTAAAACCCAAGTTTCATTTTTGAAACTTTTCTTTAATTGCCCCTTAAATAGAGGTAAATACATTAAGGTCCCTATTCAAAGGGACAGAGACCAATAGAATTGTCCTTTACAAGAGGTAGTACTGTATTTTATATACTTATTAAAATAGTCCCATAAAAAAAGATTCCATACAAATTTTATACAACTTCATGAAAGACAATCAGATTTGATATACATATTAAGCAAAATCTAACATATTAGCTCTGTAATTTATGATCAGATTAAAGAAATCCTTGCTGTAATATGATGAATTAAATTAAATAAAGAAACCGTGATTGATAATATTGACTTTTTATTATTGATTTTTAATCATCTGCTCTGTACATCATTACACTTACTATATTTTTTAAAGAAAATATAATACAGCATGCCACGCTATTTACAAAAGAAGTCAAATTTTGCTTTGAGCAATTTCATCTAACTATGGCTTATAACTTTTGTAATTATTAGGACCTGGACTTTCAGATGCTTCACTAAAAGTAATGGCATTTTTCATATATCACAACTCAGACCTTTTCATATGTACATTATTTCTCCAATTTTGGGTCAGTCTTTCCTTTAAAATTCTCTATATCACTATATTAAATTGAGTCAACTCATCAATACCCATCTGAACACAACTAAGTTTTGGCTTTAGTTTGTTAGATAATGGCAAAGCGAACTAAGGATATCTGCTTAAGGGGAGGAATGCCTTCATGGAGGACTTTCTAAGGAAAACTGGCTGAGAAAATTAGTTTTATTTTGAAAGAGTCGAACCTTGGCTCCATTTGTAAGAAAGCCATTTGCTCTTCAAAAGTTAAAGAAGAGTTTGGATTAAAAAAATTATTAATTACAAATGGAAAGACACTGTAATTATAAATTTTGACCTCTCTCAAGCTTTCCTTCATAGTATAAAGATTTATGGTGAGGTCAATTTTTTAATACACAAAAATTTTCTGGCCGATAAATGATAAGTTTTGAATATATCAACATAAAAAATAAAATGTAATTCAGCAATATTTATTCACTTTTTTTTTTTTTTTTCTGAAGAAGCTGAAGCAGGAGATGATAAAGATAAGGATTCTATTACTAAACATTGGCTATATAACTACAGGCCTGTTACACTGTATTTTAATATAAGGGGAGGGATTAGTAAATTTCCATTTAATCATCAATTTATTTTGTTATTTTCTAGCATCTTTTTTTCTCCTTAACATGATCAAAATTTTGCATCTAAAGTTTCAAGTCCTAGTAATTATAAAGGAATCACATTTCTCCTAAAATTAATGAAATGATATTTAGATGCATTATATACACATATATATGTAGTATGTACAAATGAAATATTAACACCAGTACTTCATGTTCCAAAAAAAAAAAAAAAAAAAAAAAAAATCTCTTCTGAAACTTTGCTTATTTTGATTCTAGGAAAAATAGCTTGTATATACATATACACTATATGACAATTTCTTTAATTTATGGCTAAGATATAGCAATGGCTACCTTGGAGCATGGTTATTCATTAGAAGAGTCTGTCTATGTGTTTTTGGAGGCAGTTGGGGTGTAGATCTACTAGAATGTGGTGGAGGTAATAAAGTAATAGCACTGTCTAACACTCCAACTGACGTATGATGGGCCACCGGGACTGAAGATAATGTAAAATGTGAACTTGTAGAAGGAGAAGAATCGTTTAATGATGATTGTGATAAGCGTCTGGGAGTAGTCTGGGGTATGTTGGCCACATCTAAGGCAGAATTTCTTCTTGGCAAAGTCACATCACTAGAATTGCTCCAACTGCCCACTGGTCTATGCACAGGAGGAAAGTTAGAGGCAGAATGCATGCGTGGAAGTGTTCCTGAACCACCTGCTAAGTCCCTTCTTGGAGGAAGCGGTGGAGGGCTTGTTTCCCGTGGTGGTAAAAGAGGTGCATCTATGGCTTGCTTAGTACGTGGTGAAGTATCTCCAACAGATGACTCTCTTTTCCTGCGTGGAGGTAAAGGAGGAGGACTTGGTAATGGGGGAGGTGGTGGCAGTGGTGCAGCACTAGAAGCATAAGATGGACTTGAAGGATAACTGCTTGGTATTTCTTGTATAATAGGACCTACCAAAAGGAATTTGAGAAACAGATACATAATATATCTAATGTACTTAAAATAATATGTTCCAAAATAATTTAGTAAAATTTACAAACAGATTGTGAAAAGATTTTTCTGATAAAATAAATTCCTCAGCATTAAAAAATAAAAATATTTTTTTTAATTACAGATTAAAAATTTAGTAATTTAAAATTCTTTACAAATTTGTAATTAAAAACACCAAAATATTACTATTAATGGCTTAAATGGAAAATAATGAAAGTACTGCAATCATTTACACAAGCAGCAAGGTTTTTATATGCATACTTGCCAACCTATGACACTCAAAAATCAGGAGATTTTTTTAAGAAATCAGGAGATTTTTCACAATGTTAAAAAGACTTTTTAAATGATAAAAATATAGTTTTTAATAATGAATTAACTTTAAATAGTTACTAAGTCTTAAATGCAAGCAAAACAAAAATACCTTAGACATAAAAAACATTTTTATTACTTTCATCGTTTTTTTTTTTTTTTTTTTTTTTTTTTTTAAAAGCACTTTAATCAGTTTTCATACAAATGTTATGGACAGTGGCAGATTTTGCTCTCGTTAAGAAAGAAACTTCATAATTCTGTTCATAGCAATTGCCACGTAGGCCTGCTTTCGCTAATAAAAGTTTTTCTAATGTGTCATCACTAATATTAGATCTAAATTTAGTTCTCGTTTTCGCAACAACACTGAAAATCCTCTCACACTCCGCATTACTATGGGGAACTGTCAAGATGGCCAACATAATTCTAGAGAGTTCACTATATTTTAAAATTCCATCAGCACCTTTCAATTTTCCAATTAACCTCCACTAGGTGTCAATCCTAGCTGATTATATAACTTCATCCAAGTTTTCTAATTGTAAACTGCAAAATTGCGACTGAAGTATATCAGTAGCAACATCAATATCATCATCTTTCATGACTAAACGAATCTGTTCAAAAAGTACCTTATATCAGAAAAAGATGCATTTGCTAGAGCAGAAATATCAGCAACTTTAGCATGCAAAATCACTTCATTGTTGACTGGAAATTTATGTAGTGTGTAATCACATACTCGACAGAAGTAACTTCTAACATGAAGATAAAACTTACTTTTGTTTTCTTCTGAAAGTTCTTCCACTACTTTTTGTAGTTTAATTTTTTTTGTAGTTGCAGCTCCTATTACCAAATCTTCATCTTTCTTCTGATTTTCTGTTTCACCATAAATCACATCATATATAGAATTACAAGACAAAACACAGACTGGTTTTACAAACTTTGATAAAATGTCTTTAAACAGATCATAAATCATCGATTGCAAAACATGAATTAATGGAATTCTGCTTTGTAGAATTGTGTTCAGAACATCGAATGCTGGCACAATGAATTGTAAAAAAAAAAAAGCAAAAAGCTTTGTTACGGTCCGAAGAAAAAAAAATAAATATTCGTTCTTCACAAGATAAATTTACAGTAATCGAAAAATGTTTCGTGTGTTGAGCAATTTTTTTTTTTTTTTTTTTTTTTTTTTTTTTTTTTTTTTTTTTTTTTTTGAGAGAAATTTGTATCAGCTTTACGCTTATATTTTGCAGTATTATTTTGAGAACTGCCAGTTGAATTGCTGAATGATGCAGAAATTACTTTTTCTCAAACCCATTTTTAACAATGGAAGTAGTAACTACATCTTCATTTACTTTTAGAGCCTTACTTAACACGTTTCAAAATTTTTCTCATTTCAGTATTATGCAGCTGTTGGAACTGTTTCAATTTTTCCTTTCTTTTAGAACTCCTTTCAAGATAATAATAAATATCAACAATGTGTTCATCCACATTTAATGGTAAAGAAGCTGCCCTTTTTTCAGCTGCTAAATTTAAGAGGTGACAGGTGCACCTCATAATCTGCAAATCTGAATTTGCCTTTCTTAAGATGCCTGCAACACCAGTCATCAAGCCTACCATTACTGGTGCATTATCGGCACCAAGCGCTAAGCAATTATCCAGAGGGACTGCATTTTATTTTAAAGTTTTAATAATTAGCTGTGCTATATTAAAGCCTGTAGAATGTCCTTCTAAAGTAGGGGCAGAAAGTAAACTGCACTCAATTTCTGAAGACTCTGGATTAAAAAAAGAAACAACAATTGGATACAGTTTTGAATTGTTATTATTGCTTCCATCCGTAGAGAGGCAGAACGGAGCTGTTTTAATGCAATCAATAACTGAAGATTTATTTTTCAAACCCATTTCTTTAACAATTGCACCTGTTTTGGCCCTTGCACTTGAGTATTTCTTAGCGATTTCACTATCGGGAAACATTTTTCTAAATAAAGCTGCAGCGTGATCCGATGCATTCAGTGGCAGGTTGTGCTCCAGTAAAAAGGCAGAGAACAGACATTCTGCATTAATCACTTTTTGGTCTTTTGTTTCCGAAGAAAAATTTAATTTTTCGTTTTTTCAAAACAACTCATGTTGTCCTTGTGTTTATGTGTACGCACATGTTTGAGAACATCTGCCCTTCCACCAAGAGAAATTGAAAAATCGCAACGACAGATGGTAAACATCGCAAATTTATTACATTTCCTTGAAGAAATAATGGAAGGAAAGTCAACTGTGTATGATTTTTGAAACATGCACGAGTATTTCACCTTTCTCGCAGACATATCAAAAGACGATAATTTCTAAAACTATTTCCTAAAGGCACGTGTACTCACACAACTCAGGACAAGATGAACGAAATAGCGAAAGAACATCCAAAGAACGGCCCAACGGCCAAAGAATTTTCTTTGGCAATGGCTTGAGCTTGCTTTATGCTCATTGGCTAATATATGCCAGATGACACGCAGTGGAGCTCGATGCCCATTGGAGAACTGGAGAATGACGTTTCTGGATACGTATGCTGTCAATCACAAAGCAGAAATTCTCATCTGATTCGAAAGGATTCATTTTAGATATAATCTAGAGAAAATTCAGTTGCTTTAAGACGTCCAAAATCACTTTTTTTTTTTGTTCATATAACGAAGTATTAAGCCAAGTTCCATAAAAATCATGAGAAATATTAAGAATAAGAAAAAGTCGGGAGAAATATATTGTAAATCGGGTTGGCGGGAGAGCGGTCGAAAATCGGGAGAGTTGGCAACTCTGTATATGTATTTAGATTTACAAGATGAAATACAAATGTCTAAGTTAATTGTCTAGATAGATCAGATAATGCTTTTATACATTTCAAACTGGCAGCACAAAATATAACCATTTCTTTAAATAAACGTAAAAGCCAAATAAAGTAACATTAAAATGGTAGGTTCTACATTACATTCTGTCCATTTATGATCATCTGAAGAATTTTTTAAAGTTAAGGATTTCCGGCATCTTAATGCATCTACTATTTCTAAATATTTCATATCGGTCCCCTTCCATTTTAACAATTACTAAACAAGTTACAAAAAAAAAAAAAAAAAAAAAAAATTCAAAATTGCAACACTTACCACCTCCAATCATTACAGGAGCAAATACACTATGGTCACTATTCAAGCCCCCACCAGAAAAGGGTGGAGTTAAAGGTGTTGAAGGATTATTTGGAGGTGTTGCCATACATGACTGCCCATCTTCATCATCCTGATTGATTTGCTGACTACTTATGCTAAAACTACGAGAATCTGATGGCAAGCTAGTTGGATGATGGCCAGAACGGGATAATTTTGGCTTTATACCAGGAGATTTCAAAGGTAAATCAGGCCATTTACGAGGCTATAAAAGACAACAGGTGAAAATGCTTTTAACAAAAAGAAACAAAGATTCTATTTAAATAACAGTATTTTAAAAGACTGCAGATAATATTCAAAGTGCAAACATCAACTTACTAATCTGTTCATGTTCCAACCATTATTTTGCATATATACAGTACTTTCCTAAATTAATTTCACTTAATGATTAAAATCGAACATTTTTATATTAGTTTTTACCACATTGATTGCTGAAGCAATGACAGATTTTTGTTATTACCTTATTTTTAAATCTATAACAAGGTTCAAATTTTGAGTGGAAGCATTTCAAATGAACAGCAATGAACATGATTACATCTATTATATACTCATGATAGAAAATTATGTGTACAAGCAGTTTAGAAGGACTAGATTTTCAAATCCAATCCTTCTAAACTGCTTGAATATCTAAGAAATTGCTTAACAGAATATTATTAAAAAAATCATGATCATTACCTATATTTAATTTTTATAACATTTATTTGCTGTTATATGAAATATACAGCAAACAAATTTTTATATGTTTATAGGTATGCAGAGATAAATAAAAATTCAACCATGTTTAAATAAACAGATAATAAAAACTGAACAAATTATTTATGAAAATTCAATGCAACTATCATGTTTTTAATAAAGTATCAGCATCTTTAAAAGAAAAATACTCAAGATTAATGAATAAACTTACGAATTTTGGTGGTTGCTTACACCCACGAGGTTCAATCTCAAGGGATTTATTATACAAATAATCATTGAATGCTTTTTCTGTCCTTCCCTCAAGAGGATCGAGATTTTCCAGATACCTCTAAATTATAAATCAGTTCAGTTTAACACACAAACCTGAATATGTTCTTACAGATAAGCACAAAAAAGCTTCAAAATAAAACTTTATATATTGGAAGAAAAGGAGTCAAAGTGTGTGTATATAATATGTGGGAAAAAATGTAAAAGAAAAAGTTGAGAATCGGTAAAAACAAATTTAGAACTTAAGGAAAATTGAAGTATATAAATACGCATACACGTTAACATATTAAAATGCAATGATAAAGCATATTAAGATATATATATATAAACAAACCTTTATATCAGGTTGAACAGTAAGGCAATAAGGTTGATTCTGATATTGCTGAATCTCACCAGTAATTTCTGCAACTTTACGTCTTTTACTAAAATTTACTAAACCTTCGAAATTTGGCAAAAAGTCAGGATTTCCTTCCTCAATATGAAGAATATTAGTTAAGTACATACCTATTAAAAATACAATAAAGTTAGTTAAATTCATATGCAATTGAAAAATACAGTACAAGATATCAGTAAAAATTTTTTAAACAGGGTTCGTATACATTTCTGCACACGGAAATTAAGTACTTTTAGGACCATTAATGAATAAAATTATAAGGACCTATGAGGAAATGGAAACTGAATAAATTCAATTAAAAATACTATCTATGCTTAATTTCTTTTTTGTAATACAATCCTAAAAATAAAATAGATGCCTAAGTAGTATGCATTATTACTAAACATGAATTAATTAACATAATTATTAATAAGTTTGAGAATAAAATAAACTTTATGCAATTTATCAAGTAGCATTTAATATTTTACACTAATAGTCGTTGGACATATTTAAAATGAGATAAGTGACATTTACGTTTTACTAACAGTTAGCTTTATGTTGATTTTTTTTATGTCTCATTTTGTCACATACTTGCTCAGACTAGAGGATTAGTAAATAGCAGGTAGATTTTATGTCAAATGGCATACGTTAAAATGAGAAGTAAGATCATAATCTGCATGATTCATAACAAAAGAGTGAATGTTGTCACCACTGCTGCTTGTCTAGAGAGAGACCTGCTGATTAGAACGAACCTGAAGGGCCTGATGTAGGTGTGGTTGGCAAGTGTTGAAAATTAGTCAGGCTCTGTTTGATGCAGTTAATGCCATAGCTTCGTGTAGAGTTCCAGGCGGTTGTAACCCAGTTAATGTACTTTAAGGTTCCAATAAGCCATTAAAGCACCAGAGGTGGTAAGTTGTTTTGTATTACTTTAAGTCTCACTAGATGCAAAGAATAAGTTTTATTTGAATTTTTACATTTTTGTGTTTTATCTTGAGACCACAATGAGTATTAACGAAAGGCAATAACTAACTTTAATATGTAGAGATAATTTTTAAAGGTAAGCAGTTATTTATAAATAATTAAATTAGGTAGTTTGATAACCTTAGTCAAATTTTTAACAATAAAAAAGCCCTATTAAAATCTACTAAAATTTCAGTGTAAAATAAAAAATGTAATTTATAACACTGATTCTTAAACAATATTAGGATAATTACACATTAAAAGCTACAAAACATTTATGTTTTATAACAACAACACTCAACAAAATATTTATCCGTAATTTTAATCTGAAGCCTTCCCAAACATTTTGGCTAGTTTATATCGATTTCCTTCTCTTTAAGCATCTTTTCTAAAAATGAGATTTGCCTCAATATGCAAACCAATGCTCTCGCTAGTTTCTGCACGCTTTATCTCCTAACTTGTAAACCTCTCCACAATGTACCTATGAGAGTTTACTTGATCTGGTAAAAGTTAAATAATCCAAACCCCCCAACAGACGAGAAACATATTATTGCTATGTCCAAAAGTAACTACAATATCAGACAAAGGTTTAAATAAACCTCTTATTTAAAAAGAACTTAGAACATAAAAGCATGGTCTAATGCTAACAAAATCAATTACAGCTCATGGTGACGTAATTAAACAAAAACAGTCAAATTCAAACTAAAAATGTGGACTAGTGGTCAAAGACTATACAATTTGATTTTAATTTAATCAGGCTCAGTAACTCTATCCTATGAGGAAATAGAAATAGTAAATTATAGTAAAGGCTGAAATCATAAACAATTGGGTAATTTACATACTAATAACAGCACATATCTTTGAAGAATAATTTTCTTTATGTATTCAGTTTTTCCTTCAACACATTTTCTTTTCATTTTAGAATTTTTGGATTTAATTAAGGATTTCTGTTATTCTACAAAACACTAAATGCATTTAGAATGTATAGAAAAAGGTGGCTAATTTTATTTTCTTTAGTAATATGAACATTCAGAAGAAATATGAAATATATATATGGTAGAGGCTGGTTACAGAGCTGACGTGGCAAAACTTTTAGAATAATTTAGATCAGGCATTGGATGCAGAATTTAGAAAGGCACTAGGCAGCAGAATATAGGATCCACAGAGGTTGCATCAGGTGGAAAAAGGCCTAGTGCCAGCTATGTGTATGATGCATTAAGACATATTAGATGAATCTTTTAAATTGTAAGTTTTCAGTTTCTTTATTAATAAAAAGTAACTTTCTATAATGCCTGCCCATGTGATAAGATTAGAAATATTTCTGATATTTTCCATGCTTGTATCTAGTGAATAGTAGAGAAAATAAAGAGAAGATAAACATGTTAAAAAAAAAAGATTCTAGCATCAGAAGTAAAACATTCAAATATTATGTTTTCATTGTTCTTCCAGACGTTTTCCAAAAAGTAAGAAATTCATTGCGAACTTTCTGTAATATATATCACTACATGTTGATACCATGGAGACATTTTTCATTTTGCCACATATTTCTCGAATCTTCTAGAATCGTGGGTCTATAAATCTTGCCTTCAAATCCTTCTAAACTTTCCCAGCTGCAATATTTAATATCCTAAAGAAAAATTACCCTTTCTGTAACAGCAAAAAGCCAGAAATATTTTGGAAAAACAAAGGAAGGAAAAAGTGTAAAATTAATTTTACAGAGAAAACTGACGCATATTCTGAGAATTTTTAATATTCCGAGATAATTACATGGGAAAAACTCTTACTAAGGAGACATTTTAAATTAATTACATAGCTAATTTTGCTTTTACTACGAGCTGTTTCATAAATTGTGCTTTACAGCAAGCATTATACCTTGTTTATTTTTTCAGATTCAAAATATTGTATAATAAGTTGCCAAAATGAAACTTTATAATATGACAGAAAAATAAAAAATATTTTATTTTAATGCAATTTTTTTAATATAATACTACCATTATTTCAATGAAATTTACCAATGTTACTATGTTTTAAAAAAATAGTCGAAAAATTCCCAGATCTCGGAATTAAAAATTTTCTATAAAAACTGATCTTAAAAATTGCCAAAATGTTGATATGTCGCCAAGTTTAGAACCGTTTAATAAAAGAATTCACATTCTCAAAAGCAAAAAGTTGTTTAGAGTTCTTTATTAGAAAAAATGAATTTCAAAATGCTTATGTTTTTTTTTTTTACTTAGAAACTCAAGTATCCCATTATTTATATTAGAAATAAAAACAAATTATAACCCATGAACCCTTCAAAAGATAACCATATATGTCATTATAACCCATAAACCCTTTCAAAAGATAACCATATATGTCAGTGAATCGCCAAAAATATTCCTACAAAATGCTAATTCACACTCAAAATGGTAGTCGTAAAAACAGACAGAAATTTCAGATGATTATAATTAAGGACCTTCTGCTGATTTTGGCCAAAATTAAGGACTTTTAAAAATCGATTCCAAAAAATCTAATTACTTTTAAGGACTCTTAAGGACCATACGAACCGTGTTAAAAAGTACACTTTACTTTATAAAAAAAAATACTAAAAATGGCCGGCCATCACTATGTCCTTATCTCTCCAAAGCTTGTAGATGATTATGGATGCAAAATTACACATAAAAAGGAGGTTGGATTTCCAATTCATTACACATGAAAATGTCTGCCAGCTTCTAATGCATCTGTTATTAGTTTGAATGCATATTGGAAGAAAAGGAGTCAAAATATGCAAAGAGGGTCATTTTCAAATTACAATCAATAAAGTTCCACTTATTTATGATATTCCTGGGAACTCTGAAATGTTAGGGCTACTTGTTAAATAAGAGAAAAAAAAGTGACACTGAATGAAAGCAAACAGTGTTAGATGTCAAATTCATGAAATAACTTAATTAAAACTTAGTTCTATTACTCAATATTGCCCTTCAGCTGAAGAAAAGTAGCTAACTTAGGCATAAAAATTTCATTATAAGCTTTATAATGAAATTAAAAATAAATATAACTCCTTTGTAAATTCTATTATTTGTTACTCCTATTTTATCCTTATTTTTGTAAATCTTGTATTTATTGTTTGATACTTAACATGATTACTCCATGTAATTCTTTGGAGACATTTTTCTCACAGCATTTAGTAAATTTAACTGAATTAGAATAAGGTAGGGAAATTCTTAACATGCATATGGATTTACTCATTTTTGGAAGAATTGTTACTATTAAAAATTATAAAAATATTTTTAGGATTACATATGCATGGGAAAGATGAAATACAATGTCTGAACACAGAGGAAAGTGAGATAAGCTAATTCCCCCTGATGAGTTAGCATTCTCTCACTGGCTTTTCAATTATTCATTTTTTCTAAAATTAACTAAAATTTGTACTGATTTTGAATGCAATTTTAAATGGTATTTGCTTTAATTGCGAATGACAGGCAGGAGATTACATTTTCCTAATTCACTTCCTTTCTTCATTATCTTTCATTTTAATTTTTCTAATTTTCAATAGGTTTAAATTTCATTTAATTTATTTTGTATTGCCTTTCAAAACTTTCTTTCTTAAATTGCATTGTTAATCAGGTTTAACTTTTAACTTCACATTGAAATTCTTAAATTTTGGACTAAGTTTGCACAATTTAATAGGATTTGTTGTTTAATTTCATAATATTGTTTATATATAAAATCTATGCAGACTAAGTGCAGGATTCTAAAAATTGTCCTACTTTCTATTTTGAGATTATGTTATTTTATACATATATCATATTGTGCTAACCAAATTACTAAGTCAAAGGATTTCCAACATGACAAAGACTGGAGAGTGTTTATGATCAGTTACAGTTAGTATCCTTAAAACAGTTACCTAAAAAATGGTCTACGAGAATAAAACCATCAACTATCATGTGCAAGAAGGCTAAAAGCAATCAATGTTAATGTATGCTTGTAACAAAAGTTTTCCACCAAAAAACATTCTTAATAAAGTTAGGAGCAGGAAAAAACACATGAAAGCAGTACCTTTAGTGCAGGTAGTAATCACGACACAAATCTATGACTTTCTGCCAACGTTTTGACAGATTTTCGAAGACTTTGGCCTAGAAACTCGGTGACAACTAGTCCAAAAACAGGTCAATCTCATTTTGGATGTCCCGTGCAGAATAGAATATAGCACCAGGAAGACGTATCTGCAAGTGTGAAAAAAGGTAGGTGTCCGAAGGAGCGACTTCAGGACTATACGGTGAGTGAGGCAATTAAGAACTAATTTGAGTCCATACAGAATCCAGCCAGCGAATGCAAACACATGTGGTCTTGCATTATCTTGATAGAACATTACCATTTTGCATCGAACAAAGCATAATGTTTGGATCATGATCTGTTAGGAGATCTGGATTTAGACATGAATGTTTATAAAACTTTGATGCAACTCAGTTTCATTAAAAGTATCTTAGCATCAATTGCTTTATCTTTTACTTACTTAAGTACTGTTGCACATTTTCATTATAATGATAATCCTCTATTGATAGAGCTTAGGCTTTGCAAATACATCTTTTTCAAGCAACTTAATGTGAGAAGTTAATGAATTCTTAAATAATGAGCATCCTGCATTAAGAAGACATTTAAGAATGTCCCATAAATCAAATATATACTAGACATTAAATCTAAGTGAATATCTATGGATGTTTTGTTAGAATAAAAAATAAAATATGGGGCAAATCAACCACAGGATCTACAGAAATAGCATGTTTGGGTTAACTTAATGGCAACAGATACCACATGATTTAATTAAGTCACACCCTCAATGTAGTATTCAGCTTATAAGATAATTTCTATCTACAAAGATTAATGATAATGTAAAAAAGAGCTTAGATATAACTAAATTAAAAGAAATCTTTTTTAAATGTGTTATCTTTTCATCTTCTGATCATACATTTCAAATATTCTAGAAATAACATGAATACATTCCCAAAATGCCATAAAAATAATGATTTATACCTTGTACTATTATATCACATTAAACACTGCCATTCATATACTATCTTTTCCTTTTCTTTCTTTTTTTTCTTTTTTCTTTTTTTTTTTTATTATTATTATTATTATTTTTAAAACTTGATTTTACTACATTATTACATGTGACATTGGCAAGAAAAATGGTGTTTAAAATAAAATAGTTATCTTCTATAATTATGACTATGAATCATTTCTTAATCACAATAACAAAAAACTAACTAGAATAGAAAGATCAATCTTACCAAAGAAAGGAACACATGGTGGATTAATAGACCTTAACTTCTCCTGGTACTTTTTAAAATGATCCGAGTTCAGTTCTTGTGCTTCTTCTAATGCCTTTTTCAAGCTATATTTCACATTCTAAAAGGGGAAATATTAATATATATATATACATACACAAACCATGCAACTGAAAATCCAGCTCATTTCATACAAAATTTTAATAAATTGCTTTAAAGTTTTAATAATAACAAACATGTATAATGCCATGCAAAGCACCAGAATTAGCCCCCATCTGTGGCTGAGTGGTTAAAATCACTGAATACTGGGAGAGCAGGCTGACTACATGGCTGATTTTTGTGGTCTTCTCCAAAGTGAATATGAGCAAGTTTCCCTTAGAAAGTCCCTCATGAAGGCAGTCTGCATGTACTCTGCCATAATTAAATAACCCACACCAGTGGAATAGCTAGGGGGAAGTGCTTTCAAGGGACACCAAACTGATGTTACAAAATTTTAGAATGAAATGTTTTATGAAGAGGGCATGAAAATTTCTATTTTCCCCAAGCACTGTAAACCTTAGCTCATGCTTTGACAAGCCCCCTTTTTCTTAAAAAAAAAAAGATCGAATTAACTTACGAACATTTTTAAAAGCATGCTTTTAACTTTAAATATGCTACATAACTAAAATGCTAGAAATTTAATCTCTAAAGATTTATTATGAAATTCTGGCTTTGGCTGGGGGATGGGTGATTCATACATGCATTTTAGGCTGAATCATTTTTTAAAGACTACTAGATGGTGTCTTGTGTCCATTACTTTTGAACTGATCATAGTTTTAGAATTATGACCTTCCACCTGATCACATTCTGCCTAACTTTGGTGTCAGCTGTTGTGAGGAAGGAGGAAAAGCATAATGTAAACAAACAAAGCTTGGCTCTTTAACTCGCCACATGATATAAATATTCTTGTTTCTTCGAATCCTTTTTTTGCTAATATGTCGGGTCTTTTAGGGTTACTATGTGGGGAATGTTGCTGTTGTTCCAGCAAAGCTCTTATTTTCACTTTAACGACTGCCTACTAGGTAATGCGCAGATCAAGGAGTGCTGAGTAGGTAATGTGCAGATTATCTAAGCAATTTGCAGATTACCTAGGTAATTTGAGAAATGAAGCAATTTTAGACACTTTAACGGATGCAAAACTGAAAGTTTTAAATACTTTCGGAAAACTATTTTATTACTATGCAGAATAAAGTAATGGTGTAGTTTGCAATCTATAGGTTTTAGTTTTTTATTCGTTAAATGGTGACACTAAAACACATTTTTTAATTATTAAAACAAATACAAATAATTAAGAACATTAGAAATAAAAATGATTCCATTAAGTTAATTGTTTAAAATTAGTATCGTGTGCACGATTCACAAAGTTCTTTTGATGGTTTAAGGTTTGATGATCACATCCTAATCGACATTATGAAAGCTGATTATAATACAGTCATGTGAAATAAAATATTCATATCTGAATGTGTAATAAAATGGGGGGAAGAAATGATTAACACAGCAATCAATTTTAATTGCATCATGAACTAAAATAAATAAAGAAAAGCAGATTGCAGAAAAGCAGAATAAAATCATAAATATTAAAAATACACAATAGGAAAAAGAATTAATGCTTACTTATGTGCACCTGACAATGTACTCAAAGTATTATGTGCCAACCCAGGTATACGCATAGCATTCCAATGATGAATTCCATTTCTTTTCACTAGTGTGACTGCAGATTACTATCCCTTTTTTCAGTGTTTTAAGATAGCAGTGTACTGTAAACTGCAGTTTTTGTGATCTCCAGAGAAATTTTAGCTTTCTGCATGCATAGAGTGTAATGTAGTTCACTCAAATGCATCACCTCTTTTTTTCCTTCTCATTTCAGCATTCTAGTGTCAAAGTTTCACAATTCTCTTATGTCTCTTTGAACACATTGTGAAAAACACATTGTGTATGTGGGGAGGATAAGAATGGGGGGGAAAAACAGGAAATGTGCATGGTTCTTATGAAAAAAAAAGAAAAATGTAAATGATAGGTGGCACTAAGCGCATCACTGAAATTGGAGCTTATAAAAACCCATACAAATATCTCTCTTCGAAGTTGGCAATAAGATCATGACTTTTGAATGAACATGCAAATAATCAGAAAGTATCTAATAAATTTTGATTAGCATATAAAATGTTTAAATATTTTTTGTATTTTGAATGAAATAAAATGTATCAAAATAACATGATTTTATACTCTGAAAATTTTCATTAATTTGATAAAATTCTAAAACATAAATTATTTACATTTAAAGTATGTTCAAGCCGATGCACACAGGCAGAATTCATTGCACCAACAACTTCAAGCACCCCTGTGAAGTTATTTAATTCTTGCAATACCATCATAATTTCTAATACCCGAGAGACAACTGCAACACGCTCCTCAAAGCTTTCCGTTTCCACAATGCACTTCATCAGCCAAAAACTAAACTGTAACAAAAAATAAATTTAATTATTTTATAGATAAGGATTATATGTCAGAACTGATTATAAACACTACAGCACTGCCTTAAATAAAAAGCATATAATTATTTCACAAGATGAATACAATCTGTTTTTACAATTTAGGCTTTTCATCCCTTTTACTGAATTTCTAGCCTTTGCAGAAGAATTATATTTACAAACACACTAATAAAGTAGGCAATACATGTGAAGGCAATAAAATAAATATTAAAACATTAAATATGATTTTTAAATACATATTAAATTCGAAATTTTTCTTACATTAGAAGAATGATGGATCATTTTTAACAAATTTGGAGATGTTTTCATTTTGTCTTTTTTGGTCCACACACTTCCAACCAATTCAGAAGGTTTCACACTCCGATAAAGTTCAAATTCTAATAAAGTTAGTTGCCGGGCTATTTCAATGGGATGTAACTGTAATGAAAGTAAATTAGTAAATATATAAACAAATTAATAATAAAATGTTAACAGGATCTGCAAAGGTGTCTACTTACAGTTAATAAATCAAACTTTTCATAAGTGTTGTTTAAAAACCATTCAATGGGTGGTGGAATTTTTTCAAAGCCGAAAGTGATCTCACGAGGTTCTTCTACCGATTCCAACTGTAAAAAACACTTTTTTAAACTACAAATAAATGCAATTTTAAAGAATATGTTTCATATAATTTTACATTATTACAAACTTGAATTCTAAATTTACTTATGTAATAAAAATTGAAATTTAACTGATTTAGTATTAAAAACATAATATTGCTTTTTAAGTTATAAAAACAAAGAATAACATTCTAAATACATACAGTCAACTATCAGTTGACCAAGACTTGTCTAAAAAAAAGATTCAGTTTACTTATTGCAAAATAATGGAAAATGACTACCATAAATAATCAGAATAAAGCCAAATCTTAAGAGGAAATGTAAAAAAGGGGAGGGAGAATGCATGAGATAACAGCAGTGATAGCAGATGATACCACAATATTTGGAAATTGGTTTAATCCACATAGATTAATAGTTTTTCGGCCAAACCCATGACTAAAAATTCTCATGTAACCACACTTTTGATCTTCTCATCTTGCACAGCTTTCCAGCTTTGCTCACCAGATCAAACAAAGATGACACATGATAAACTAGCCTGTTAAATTAATCCCACCTCACTATTTCTAATGACAACCACCTTATGATTCCATAGCAAAAATGTTATTTTCATCTACTATGCACTGACTTGAAAATTTCACAAGAACGCTTGGATTTTATGCTCCAGTCTGAAACGATTAGCTTCTCCTGCCCACAACATTCACATGACAATTTCACACCTGATTATGGAACTGAAAGACTTGTCTCATTTAACATCGTGAAATTTGGCCCTGGGCTTCCCTCATATCTGCAATACTAACCATAGAAAAAATATGGGTCTAGAATCATACACTTTTCTACACAGGATGGGGCTTATGTCCAGGAGCCTGAAATTGTGACCTGTTCACCCAAGTCTTCCTCTTTCCAGTGGTCTTTTTCTAATGGTTGTTGAATTAGCCATGACTTTGGGGTAACTGTAGACATCATCTGTAATATTACTCCAGTTAATAATGAGTGTACTACATTTGAAACTAAAAACTACAAATTTGAAATTCACTCATCATAAGGTTTTTTTTGTGAGATGCAAGAAGACTTTATAATGAGTACTGAATGTAAATGAAAGAAACCAGCTAGTCAAAATTAGCTGATCAATATAATGCCAACATATGTGAAACTTATGAGTTGAACCCATTTCACAGATTCTACAGGAAGCTTTATGTAATATTATAATGTGAGGAAGATTACAGAACCCATTATGCAAAAATCCTTAAAGCTGAAACTTTTTCATTCGGCAGCTCTAATCCATTTGGCCACTAACAGATTATTCCTCATAAAAATGATTTTCTAAAATACTTTAAATATCTGTTACAATACTGTGAAAAGATGAATACAAAACAATTAGAGATATGTTTATATATATATATATGCATTTTAAAATTTAATACAATTTAATACAGATATACATTTGGTGCTTATAAAACAATACAATACAGTGAAACCTATGTAAAATAACTGCTTACAGTTCAAGACAAATGCTATCTTCTATTACATAATTATAATATTCAGTATCATTACTTATTATACTTTAATAAAAAAAATACTGAACATTTGCACAGATGCGCTTCTTTTAGGATGGCAGTTGCCAAATGAAAGTTCACTGCATTTTGAAAATATAAGACTCTGAATTAAAAAATACACTCTTAGGAATTCTATACATTTTCATAGATAAAATATACTCACACGTCGCATAACCACTTTGTTAATCGATTCAACCCACTTTCTCATGCTTTTGCCTTTTACTTTCTCTAGAAATGCTCGAAGAGCTGATAGCAAAGATGGATCTCTCTCAAAATCATAAAAGTGATGATCTACCCAATGTCGAAGTACATTTAAAACTCTGAAAAAGTGTAGAGCAAACGATGTTTAAGACAGCTGTTTTCAATAAATTTATATAAAGCTAGTACAACCATTTTAAAAATAAAAATTCTTCATCCAAAAATTTCAAAAGAATTTATATAAATATATATATACTAGCAGCTACGCGGCCAGCCTTTATCTGACTTTTAAATGTACCGGAAAAATGCCTAAAGGGAACGCCAAACGTTAAATTAAAAATCTGCGCAGAATTTTACTCTGCAGAACAACTTCATTAAAAAAAAAAAAAAAAAAAATTTTTAAATGTATTACATATAACAAAACTGCAATGAAATAAGCAATTTTCCTTAATACAAATATTAATTATCCTAATAAATAAATTAACCAACTTCTCATTACAAAATCTTAAAAATTCAAAATGGTAAAAACTTTGTTTCTTAAAAACGTCACGCAAAATTTTTTGTATAATTAAAATATAATATAAAAGAATTACAATGAAATAAGCAATAAATCTTATAGTTTTAAGAGAAAACAGTCAGCAGTCCAGTATCCAAAGCAATGAATGAAAAACTATTGCCAAAACCACATTTTTAAAAGATGTGTGTGTAATTATGGCAAAGCCTCGAGGGCTATCTGCCTAAGAGGAGGGATGCCTTCGTGGAGGACTTTCTAAGGGAAACTGGCTTGTATACACGTTACACATGGGGAAAACCACGAAAACGCCCATGCAGCCGCGGGATTCGAACCTCGGACCGAACTACCAGTGTTCAGTGACTTTACCGCTCGGCCGCTGGTGGGCCCCCCATTTTTAAAAGAATAAAACTATTCAAAACAATGCAATAAATTCAAAAAATAAAATAAAATAAAAAAAACATACAATTCGAATTTTGAAGAGGAAAAAAAAAATCGCTTGGAGATGCAATGGCTCTTGTCTAGATGCACCTATATACCAAATTCCGTAGTCCTAGGTCTATTGGCTTATGCACAGCACAAACAAAAGACACCGACTCTTTCTTTTATTATATGTAGAGATATGCACACAATAAATAATAAATAAAAAAATTACACACTGAAAACTTCAGATATCTTAAAGCATTGAAAATTAAGTATTTAATTAAAAAAAGAAATTACAATCTGAACTTGGCAGACAGGTTCCAATTTAAAATCTCAAATGATTTAAAGGTATTCAGTTGCGACACAGCTACTACTTTAATCCTTTCAGTCCCAATTAATTTTTTTAAACGTACAAAAGATGTAGTACATGCTTGCCTTATAATAAACAAATTGACTAAGCATCTATCTATAAGAAGATGCATGTGACAGTTTTCAGAGAAGATTTTCAGATCTCTCCCACATACATGTAATTCCCTCTAGGCTTCTTTAAACATCTACTGGGACTGAAATGGTTAAAAATTAGTTCTAAGGAACTCGGTGATATGGAACATAAGATCTTGTATTAAACATTAACTATTTAAAATAACAAGGCAAATGGCGGGGGGAGGGGGGACGAGCTCTTATTTTTTTATCATTTACGCAGCTTAAAGTCATGTGGAATTTTTCAATAAAAAAAAGTATAATCATTTAAAAGATAGTTGCAAGTGTTTCTCACTGGATTACTTGTGCACAAGGCTAGCAATAAACATTCCTTCCAAGTGATGTGGCATTACTTTCTATTTTGCCATGACACCAAATCCATAAACTGAAAATGAAGAGTTTTCTTCTAAGGTGTTTAAATCAGCAACATAATTAATGTGGCTCTAAAGGAGAACTGGTTAAAAAGAAAACTAATGCTTATATTTAAAGCTTAATTATCGAGATTACTGATTTTTCTTACACACACACACACACACACACAAAAAAAAAAAAAAAAAAAAAAGGCTTTAGGTAGTCTAACTATGAATAACAAAAAATATAAGAAGTTCAGAACATTCACACACAACAAGGAATTCAACAAAATGCTACACATATTGAAATGAAGAAAATATTTCAATAAAGATAAAAGCCTCAGTACAGACTATTACTTCTTACATACAATGTGCTTTATTATTATTTAATACATTAGAAAAGAGCAATATAAAAACAATACAAACATCAAAATAATTGCATACAAAAAAGTACCTAAATTGCACTGGCTGACAGTATTCTTTTCTGAAGCGTTTTAAATCTTCCCTGTAGGAATTTTTGTAATTTTCTATATCAGTTCCTTCTAATGATCCATCAGAAAGTGCAGGTGGTGGTGGAGGATCTGTTATCTCAAACGTAAATCAGAGTTAAAGAAATTACACACTGCAATTATTGCTAACAAAACAGTCATGGTTAAAAGACGTTAAATTTTTACTCACTTTCATGATAATGAACTAAACAAGCATGCAACCTTATGAAATTAAAGACACTAAACCTTCTCTCATATGTTCTAAATATGGTAAATTTATGTCTATTAAGGATGCCTTTCTACACTATAAAATCTTATTTCCATTTTTCATTTAAAATCCACCTTTATAATTTATGTCTGAATTTTATAACTATTTTTATATTTTTCAATATCAGACTTAATAATTCAATTCTTCCATAATTTTTTCTGTTGTTACAAATTTTCATATACCCTCCTTTCCTCTAACAATCAGATTATGGATATGTAACAGAATTCACCTTCATTATATTCAGATAAAACTGCCAAGTTAATACTTTATTTTAAACATTTAAAAAATATATCACTTAAATAGTATCTTCAATTAGCTTTGAGATAGAAGGATAATTCCTTTTTACAAATTTTAAGCTTATATAATAGAATTCATTTATAATCCTAGGAAAGTAAATAAATTATAAAATGCTAGCTTATTTGATTATCCAAATCTGCATTTTAATGCAGCTCAGAAATGCACGATTTTCTAAAATAACGCACAGTTTTAAAACTATACTCATGAGGGACAAACAAGTCTTTTATGCCATACATAAGAAATAGTGTATAATTAAAAGAAAACAACTGGCATAAATAATACAATTTTAAAAGGATATCTTTCAATCAAGAGATCAAGTAATTCTGATGGTTGGCAGAAAGACCGATATGTTGTTAGAAATGTGCGTACAAACATTGGATCAGCATACATATGGTAAGTTAATCTTTCAACAAGTTTTAGAAGTGTTGCTCCTTTTATAATTGGTCCACCAGCATTAGATTTATTTTCTTCAAAAATTATATTTGCTTCAGAGTCTTCCACAGCAAATCTAAAAATGAAAATATACTTTACATAAACCATGGGGGGGGGAAATGTCATTCTCGTTTGATGCAAAAGTTTATTCAGATATTTTTGAATGAATATAATACTAAAATAAACCACACAAACGTGAAATGTCCAAAAATTCAAATTTGTTATTAAATATGATTATAATGTAGAATCTGTACATATATATGCTTGTTCTTTGAACTGTGGATAAATGAAAAAAAAACTTAAACAATCAAATTTTCAACACATATAGTTTGCCAAACATGTGCACTTCAAAATGGAATTTTGAATTTGCAATTTGTTTCATGCTATTTTTGATAACAAACTCAATGATTTAAAAGCAATGTGTTGCTATTCAGCGAAGTGCAAGATATTCATCTTTCAAATTTAATCGACAATTTCAGCTATTTAAAAGCTATGTGTCGGCATGCCAAAGTGCACAACAATTACATTTTATCTGTCCTTACAGATTAACAAAATAACCAATTTAAAAGAAATAAATGCATTTCTTAATACTATTTTTTTAAAACTTTTTATAAATTTATACTACCTGGACTTGTTAAAATCATTATATATTTTTTCTTTTAATAATGATTACATTAAGGGCAGATAGCCATTTAATGTGACTAGCAAATTTAAATTATTAAGATTATAAAAATGACTGACTAAAATAAATCATTAGTATGTATAACAGTAAAATAAAATTTAAAAAAAAATTGCATTTAATGATTAAACAGGGTTCGTAGCCACATTTTAGTTAAAAAAATAAGCACATATAAGCACTTTTCAAGCACATTTTAAGGAAAAAAAAAAAAAAAAAAAAACACTGTCTAATTACATTATACACAACTGCATAACCTTAAAAGAAAAACTAGACTTGCAATTTAAAATATGAGCAATGCAATATTTATTAAGAGAATAAACCATTACCTCAACCATGGAAAACAATTAACTTTTTTTCTTTCTAATTTAAAATGACAGTTCAATTTACAGAATTAGTTTACAATGAGAGGGAAAAAAAACTATGCAGAACTAGTAAACTATATTACAAGATTTAATGATGAAATTTCAGTTCAAAATATAGAAAATAAATAATAATAAGCTATATTAATTGTATTCGCTTGCATCTAATAATAAATACAATTTATTTTTCCACTCATATTAATATTTAAATAATTTAACTTAAATCAAAATTCTGAACATTTTCTAAATTTTCATTGCATAACAGTTTTCCCTTAACATATATTCCAAGTAAAGTAATTTAAGTAAAACAGAGGAACATTTCTGAAATCAGGAGATGGGAAATTGCTTCCTGCTGTCATCCTTTCACAGTAAAAGCTCAACTAACCCGCATACTCGGAAATTGCCGAATATTCTTGATAGTAACTGGAAAAATAGGAGTGGGGGAGATTGTAGCCGTTCTTTAGATTTCTCGACTAAATAAATGATTTTGACATTTCGATATGTGCATCGTATAACCATAGACCGACGGAACTTAGAAATATTCTGCTTAGAAAGCACAGTAAAACTCTTTTAAGTGTTTATAAACAAATCTCAGACTGAACATCAAAATTAATTATCTCTGCAAAATACCGCAAACGTTATTGCGCAATATGTGCGGCGTAACTCTTCCACATGTGATATTACACAATCGGAATCAACAGCTGCCGGTATTCGGAGAATAAAGAACTAAATAAAGGAAAAGAAAGAGACTTACTAATCTGAGGCGTTTTTTATTCTAATTTTGAACAGACTGCGTTAAATTTCCGGAAAGAATCATTGTTCCATATAAGGAAGAAGCGTTGTTTATATAGTTTCGGCTTTGGTACGGGGGAAAAATGCGCGTTCATTAAAAAAAAGCAAAAAATAAGCACTAAAAACAAAAAAATAAGGGCTTTAAAGAAAAAGTAAGCACCTATAAGGGCCTTTATATTTTATTTTCAAATATAAGGACTTATAAGCACTTGTAAGGACCGCTACGAACCCTGTTAAAAATAGAAAAATGGAATAATTTGTCACTTATTTATCAAAATATGAAATAACTATAAAGAATCAATATTTTCAAAATGTACAAAACATAGTTCAATAGCCAGTGGCACCTATGATCTTATTCTGCCATACCGCAGTTTTCAGATGTTTCCCTCTCCAAGGGAAAAATGCTTACAGTGGACAGAAAATGCTTTTGTTCCGACTAGTTCCAATGCAGAAGAGATCTCTTGCTCAACCCCAGCTGGACCAAATTTCACTAACGCCCTTTTTCCACCTCTGGTTTTGAAACCCATTGCTTTCAACAAAACTGCAAGTTTCCATTGTAAAGTTGCAATATTTGACATTTTAAATTTTACTGTCAATTTGTATTTACTCTGAAGTTTTTCCAGTGGATTCTCAAATATTTCTGACGAGCTATCCTCTCAAGAAGGAAAGAGCTCTACTAATCAGATTTTAAAATCCACTGAATTCAACTACTCATCTAGGAGGTGGAATTAAATCTACTCTCAAATTGTCACTACAAGACCTAGTGACCCGAAGCCCAAAGAGAGAGACAATAGTCATGAAAGCTATAATGCCTCAGCATCAGTATGCTTCAGTTACAAAATGTAAACCATATTTCGTACTAATATCGCTTATAACAAATACAGTCAAAAGTCGTTAATTCAGACACCCATAATCCGGAATGATCTATAATCAGGACGTCAAAGCTACAAACTTTCTGTGCATGCGTAAACGCATTTGTATGTTTTTTATAATTTTAGACCGAAAATTTCTTCTTTCATTTTTGCAGACTGTTAGACCAATTTTATAGAAGTAAGTTTGAACTTTCGATTATGTCAAATAGAATTTCCGATATATATTTACTAATATGTAAAGGATCTACAAACGAAAGTATGTTTCGAAGTCCATTAGACAAAAAGTGGAATTGCTGCAAAAAATGGATAAAGGCATATCCTTTGTTTATCTAACCATTCCGAAATCTGTTTATCAATTTCTCGCTGCTCTGCGTGCAATGAATTGGAAGTTGATCTGTCAGCACTATCCTTATCTTCAGGGCAGATGTTTTTATTTTATTTGGCTTATAATTTCTTACTAAATGTAGTATTTCATCTCGATGTACTCCGTCTTTGATATGATTTAAATCATATTCCTCGTCATTATAATTCACTTCCGATAGCGAAGAAAGTAAAGTAAACAAATAAATATTAAGCTTTTTTTTTTCTGTAAATTTTGATACCCTTTAGATCATAATTGTTCTTTATTTCATGAATTACGGTTTCATATTTTTAATTTTATAATTTGTGCATGCCATTTTACCTGATTTAAACTGATGATCTATAATCCGGAAAAATCAATAATCCAGAATCGCCGAAGTCCCGATGAGTCCGGATTAATGACTTTTGACTGTATGCCACATTTCAGAAATTCCCTATACATAAATTCACATATATCTGAAAATCTCAGAGCTTTCAGATTTTATATTACAGCCCAAAGGGAGTTTTTTTTTATAATGTTTTGTGTATTAACTTTATTTATTAAATATCATGGTCTTCACACTTAAACCACATAAAATTCAATTCAACAGCAATATTACAAAATATTTCAAAACAGTACACGTTTAGAATTACCAATACACAGTTTCAAGCACTGGAGATAGCCCCCTTTTTTTCCATACATTGTTGCCACTGCTCAATTTGAAATCGTCGAGCTTGTTAAAAAATTTTAAATAGATAATAAAACCAAATTGAAATTTAAAATTTGGTCTTCTAAGTGCTCATGTTCGGTTGGAAGACTACATTATTCAAAATTTGATGGCTCTAGGTACTGTTGTTTTTTCACAATGCAAGAAACATTCCTGCAAATTTTCATTATTTAGTTCCTTTAAATATAATACATGGTGATAATATTTGGTGGCAATAATTTGAAAAGTGAATCAATGCAGAAAGTGAAATAACGCCAAATGCCATTTTAAGGCAAAATGCAATTTTGGGCTAAAAAACTTTTTCCACCTAATTATTCATACAGTAAAAAGTACTTAATACTTTTTGTCCAATTTCTCAATACATTTAAAACCAAAGGGCAGCTACTGCATTAAAAATTAATTTTACCTATATTCTTCCGGAGAAGGGAGTCGAAGAGGGTGTTTCTTTTCTTCATCCAATAAAATGCTATCAAGAGTTCGTTCTAACATACTGAAATGTATGATAAAGAGAAATTTTATTACATATAAAATAATAATTATATAAAAAATATGCTTTAAATGAATAATAATTTGAATAAAATTTATAACCATATGCATAATAATATCTAAAATTTTTGAAATTGTATTAAATAAGTTTTATTAACATACAGCATTACATTTTCAAAAAGGTTAGAGAAGATTATGAAATAAGTTAGAACTGTTAAAATATCCATACTCTTAAAGAAAATAAAATATCAATAACTCTTAAGGAAGTAGAGAAGCCCTTAAACTCTCACTTGATATTAGGAATTTTATTGCTGCAATGTAAGAAAGGAAAAACTGGCTACATAACTATGAAAAATACACATTTAACATTTTGTTAAACTGCTTTTAAAGCATTTTTATGTAAGTATATTGATATATAGATTAAAAAATTTACTAAATCTGCCAAACATTCAAAGTACAGATAAGAAAATAAAATAACAATCCTGTAATACTTATTACAAATATAAGCACTGCCAAAGAAGCCCTTTACGAGAACTTTATTGAACAAAAGATTTGAAGCAATTTCTGAATAGGTGATTAAAATCCCATATTTTCTGAAAATGGGTTTTTTCCATAACATGGTACCCCTTGAAAATTTAAAAAAATTCACCAAGCTAATGTGCCAAAAATAACACTCATTTTCAAAATGCTAGAGTACTTCTGGATTCCATAAAACTGCAATCAATCAATAAAATTAAAAAAGCAAGAAACCTCAAATAAGAATAAAACAAATATATTTAAAAACATGCATTTAGTTTCTTTCTTGATTATCAATCTATAGCTTGCATACAATTTTGAAACACTTTAAAAACGTGGAAAAAATATCTTCTTGGTTATATTTATAATTTTTACAACACACAAATATGGAAAAAAATAGGTACAAATTCAGCTTACTATTTAGGCTTTTTCAAACATCTGCAATATATATATATATTAATTCAAAATTCATTGTCATTCTGTTTTATTCAACACAGGAAATGGATGATTTTTAATCCACAAGAATGCAATGTGCAGAAAGACAAAAAATTTCAGTTTCAGCTTACCTTTTGCACTTAGTTTATTAGTTTACTAAAGTGTTGTCAAAAATAAAAAGTAACCACATCTGGCATTTTATGCAATTTTGGTGGTTACAGTGTGAGGGGCACATTATTATGGAATTATACCTTTGAAAGTATTAGCATCACAATAACCATAGCCAAATTTTTAATAAATTATGAATTCAAAAATGGTTCAAATATATGTATTCAAATTCATAAAATATTTAAAAAGCTTTAAAAATATACCTTTGAAAGTATTAGCATCACAATAACCATAGCCAAATTTTTAATAAATTATGAATTCAAAAATGGTTCAAATATATGTATTCAAATTCATACAATATTTAAAAAGCTTTAAAAATATAGCTGTTTTTAATATTATTTATGGAATTAAAAGTACCTTTTTGTATTTAACATAATTAAATTTGCCATCCAGTTGCTTTTTTCTTCCGCAGTTTTGGCAAATAATATAATATGCAACTGGTCACGTGGAGCAATTTCAAATGCATTTTTCAGTTCTGAAATAAAGAATAAAATTCAAAGATACAATGCAAACAACAATAATAATGATCAAATATTTTGTGACAATATGAAAATAAATTTCTTTCAATATTTCAAAATCACCTTTAATATAATACTAATACTTACATGAATGGGGGAAAAAAAAAAAAAAAAAAAACTAAATTCCTTACAACAAATTTTACATGAAATGTGCTGCACATTATACTCCTCCATGCTGTTATACTATATACATTTATTATATACACTATTTAAAAACAGTCATATAAACAGTAATGTTTAACAGTTTATTATACCTTATAAAACTGCACAAAGAAAATATTTGATTATAATGAAAGTTTTCGGCTAAAAAAACTTAATAAAGTTAGGAAAAAAATTGAGCAGTACTTTTATTGCGGATAGTAATCACTACTCAAATCTATGATTTTCTGCCAATGTTTTGGTAGTTTTCATACAAGTTTCAATACTGTTACTCACACAAGACGATTAAGCTTCAAACACGAGCCTGTACATGCCATCAAGCAAAGTAACCTTATTAGGATGGACAAGTAGCAATAATATATTGAAACAATGGTCAAAGAGACAAATGTCCCCATCTCAATCAGTTGTTTATAACAATCAACATACAGACTTTGGACTAAAAACATTCTAACTATCCAGAATATAGCCGCAGAGTTTGATGACAAACAAGATCCCATTTCAGTAACACAAACAGTCATGCCAAATCACAGATCTTTCACCTATAATTCAATCTCAAATAGATGAGTGTTCTCTAAATGTAGAGCAATGTGCATCTATCTGTACCCAAGAAGTATTCACCGCAACTTTAAAAATATTCAGTGTTTTGAAACATTTCTTTTGACATGAAAAAGAAAGGTCAGTTTTTGTCAAACATCACACTTGAACTTCATCTTGGACACCACAGGAATCAATAATATGCTTTTTGCAAATGTTTATCTGCATATAATCTTCTGTTTTGAAAATATACATCCACACCATCTCTGGATCCTGTTATTTTATTTATTTATTTATTTATTTTTATTTATTTTTTTTTTAACCATCTCTGGATCCTGTTAAGAGGAGTCTGTGACTGTCTTTCCACAAATTTCATATCTGCAATGCACAGCTTATCGGAAGGTCATCATCACATAGTGATCCTGGAACCATACGAGGCAGTTCTCTTAAATGGAGTTTACTTTTACGCTATAAAATGTAACACTAGGGATGCAGCCATGAGACACTACTTCTTCTGAATAAAAAACATTTGATAACACAAAGCCAATCCTTATTTGAAAATTCCTAGCCTTAAAAAGAATTATGTATGAAACTTGCATGCTACTATGCAAGTTCTAGGCATATAAAATGACGTATTTCCATGTCTTATCATAAGCCTTTTCAATTTAAAAAAAAACTTTTTTTTGTGAAGGCTTTACAAACGGAGGTTTCCAAAAGGAGCGTATTATTCATGGCCATTTTACCTTTATGGAAACGAAACCACTCTGATATGGTGAGATTGTTGTTCTAAGTAGTAAAAAAGGCAGCAATTTATTACTTCTTCAAACAGTCTGCAAATGCAATTCATAAGTGCAGTAAGCCATAGCTGGAGGATTTCACACCTTTTTTTGGCTTAACTGTGGGAATATTTCTTAACTGACACCGCCTGGGCAAAACCTATGTCTCCAACAAACCTCTTTTCAGCTTAAACATGGTAAAACAGCGACGATAACATTCCAAGTTAGAAGAGCTGAATACAATGGGAATTTCTCTGAAGGAAGCTTGACAGAAAGAAACATTAGCAGGTAATTGTTGTCACTGCAGATGGCAGCAGACTGCAGTTTTCACTTTCATGACCAACAACAGAACATTTTGCCCATATGGGGCTACCAAGAAAGCTGTATGCTAAAATCACTAGCACTGAAAGTAACATTTGTTTTGGCATGAATGGCCAAACAGGGCAATAGAAATAATAATAATAATAATAATAATAATATAAAAAACCACATTTTTCTTCATAAAGATCAACATCTTTAATGTAAAATATGGTTAGTGGGAAGTAACAGACCATCTTCTCCAAATTATAACCTCCAAGTTCCAAAACCAATTTGATCTTCAAGCTCTGTTACAAATTCCTCCTCAAAAGCTGACATAAAGTCTGGGAAAATTTTAAAAGATTCTGGACTGAGGCTCCAATACTGGTGTTATATTTAGAAGATTCACTGACTGCCAGGTACCAATAATCTCTATGAGAATTTCCCTGGATTCAAGTTGTTTGATATTATAAGATTTGCCCACTAAAGACAGAATGAACTTATTCAGGAAGGTGACATTTTGCTTAGCTGGCCTTCTGAATTGCTTATTAATAAGAAACCTAGAAGTGAGTCAATATATAAATTATTCGCATTTGCTTCAGTGTGATGCTTAGATTACAAATTAAAAAGTTAAAGATGACACAGATGTTTTAGATTCAGGTTCAGATCAAACCACCCTATTCATCATGGATCTCAATAGGGGAACACAGATTCCTAAGTTAGGACTAACTGGTCCTATATGTTCTTTAAAAGAAAACGTCTCCAAAATGTCCTATATGTTCTTTAAAAGAACATGTTATTGTATGTTACTCTTTCCTTTCTCCCATGTGGTTTATACTTCTGAGGCTGTGACTCACCATGAGATGTTTTTACGTACCTTTTATATCTGGCTTTCTATGGAGACCATGCCCAGGACATGGTCATCTTTCTCAAAAGCAGGAATTCCCACTCACTTATCCCCAAGCCACTGACACTAAGGTCTAGAGACTAGCCAAACAAGACTTGTGGGGAACCAGTAAGTACTTCTCATTTAAACTGAAGCAGAAGGCAAAACAGTATGTTGAGAATACATTTCCCTTTAACTATCAGAATCCTCCTTTCAAGCCTTACAGTTCTGCATGCAAGACAAACATGCAGACAGTTTTCTACCCATAGAAAGCCAGATATAAAAGGTATATAAAAGCATCTCATGTGAGTCACAGCCTCAGCAGTTTAAACCACATGGGAGAAAGGACAGAATAACATACAATAAGAGGAGAAATGCAAAGAGAAAAACACCGACGCCCTTGTGTCATGAATTCAGTGCTCATCAAGGCAGTGATCCCTGAGGAAGAGGGAGAAATAAGATTTTCTGAAGATAATTATTTAATTTGTTATGTTTTGAGCAAGAATTACTTTTATATGCACATAAGAAAAGTATATGTAAGATCAACGGTTGAAGATGAAATTGAGAGTTGAAAAAAGCCACCCTTATAAATATCACATAAACAATTTTCAGAACTCAATAGGCCAATGATTTGGTTTTTCCAAAATATCAGCTAATATACCACAAGAATTATAATAAAGATAACTTGTGTCTACAGCTTCCTGAATAAATGAAATAAGGGTAAAAAATTATTAAATAAGACAATCTTATAACATAATAGGCCAAAATATTAAATCACATCTTGAACATTATAACTTTAAGTACAGCTATTTGAATCATTTAAAATATGCAATCAGTTCAATGAAAATCTAGTCAACAATAAAATAAATGGACTTACCATCTGTATCTTCTCGATCAATAATTTCTATTTTTCTGAGGTAATATTTTTCTTTAAAGCGGTATTCAGCTACTGGGCCTGTAACACTTGAGCGTTTATTATTTGGCTTGCACAGGATCATCAATCCATCAAACAGAAATACTTGTCTTTCTGTTAAACGGCGACCAGAACCAACTTTTCCAAGAATACCATCTATATTTCAAAAATACATCATACATATTGATAACAATTTCAATTGTTAAATCAAGGTAAAATTGCACTCTTATCATTAAAGATTAATATATAGTGTAGCACTTATGTATAGTTAATATGATAGAACTTATAGTTCTGTCATATTTTTTATGGTATTTTTCAACAAAGGATGCATTTTCAATATTTTTCCGCGGAATTTATAATATAAAAAGGAGGGATATCAACAAATTAGATGAAGACAGGACAAAACAATTCATAGTTGAGAAAAGAGAGGGACACTTTGCATTTTCCCACAATGAAAATGAAGAAGATAGTAAGAAACTCAGTCCTTCATTTCTCAATAAAACAACAATAAATACTGACAAAATCTCACAGAGAATCAAACTGAAAGATGAATGAATTAAGCACAGAAACCAAAACAGTAAGATAGCATATCTTTGCCAGCACTTTAGTGCAGAAAAGTCATCAATATATATATATATATATATATACACAATACGAATAACTGAGCGAAATCATGATTTAAAAAACTCTAAAATTAACAGGCCGGAATTAATGGTTCTGTTACAGTACAATGCATTCAGTAATTTCACTCCCAGAATCATAACTTAAAGTCCTATCACATATTCAAACATTTTGGAGGGGAAAAAAAAAAACTGTTTAGTATAATTTTTCTGTCACATGATATAAAACAACTAATCATCACGGATCACTTGGGGTTACCATGTAAAGAAAACTATATACCATGTAAAGGAAACTAAACTATCCCTGAATATGTTCTCTTGCATTATGGACTTCTAATCTGCCTCTAGTTTAACAAAGTTAAAAATCTCTGTGATATAGAAATAATTTAGAAAAAATAGGATATAAGAATTCTTTACTTTATGAAAGCTCATTTTATACTAATTCATCTTTATAGATGATCTATCTGGGTATTTTCAGGGGGGAAAGGAGGGTATGAAGGAAATCTAAAGATTTTTTGCTTTTTTATGAAAAAATGCAAAGAGGAAAGATATCATCAGCATTTGCATTACACGATGACTGAAAAATATAACTCTAATTGTGAAAACAACATAAAAGTTTAAGGCAGTGTTGCAAGATGGTCTTACTGTCTATAAAGAAATATTTATGTGTGCATGAATACATACAACTTCATAGGTAATTTCTAGTACCGCTCTAAAAATATATATATAAAATAAATTCTCATATTAAACTAATCATTTAAAATTCTAAAATTAAACTATCTTTTTCTTTCACTTTAAAATATTTTCACACAAATGCTTTGTGAAAACTTTCATAAAGTGGAAGAACTTTTTTTGGAAAAAGAACTATTTACACAATTTTGAATAATTACAGTTTGTTTCAAAACGTAAAAGAATTTCTGCTATGCATAATTTCACAACAAATATATAATATATTAAGAAAAATATAATTAACAAAATTATAACATTACCCATTACAAAATCATTGCAACATTGACCAATATCCTTTCCTTCCCAGCCATCAATACTTCTCTGAAGTTCATTCATTTTTTGGATGGAAGCTTGACGGTTAGTTCTAGAGTACATTCGTGAAAATGCTTCGCTAAAATATAAAATATATATATATAAGATATTTAAAAATTTCCATTTTAACAGAAAGCTATTCAATTAATTAAAAAAAAATCAGCATTTCCCCAATAAAAATAAATATTTCCTGTGCTATTTATTTGAAATAATCTTTATATTAAGATATCCTCCTTAATGAAGCATACTATAGTTTCTTTTATCAAACAATACCATCAACCTAACCTTGGTCAAATAGGTACAATTTTTTCACAATATTGCACCATCTTTGACATTCTCAAGTTTCATGAAAGGATATTTCACAACGGACATAAATGATCACATCTCTTTCAAACTCATTTTTTAACTGACGTGCCTCATTTTGTATTAAAAGATTTGCTATGCTATCTCTAAAAAACGATGTTTCTTTTTATATCCACTTTGGCATAAACTGTTGCATCAGTGAACTAATTTACTACTTCTGGGAGTGTCTGAATACTTTTCATCACAAAAGTATTTAAATTAAGAACAGCAGAAAAATTTTAACACTATTTTAAATTTATTTTATGTTTAACACAGAGTCAAACAGATACTCAGTGAAGAAACATTATTAGTTTTATCCACTGTTACTTCCCTCACAGCAGACACTGTGTGGTAACTGTCATGATTTTTCTTTCACCAAGCGTAAATGCTGACTGGTCTCCTTTATACCCCCCCACACACAAAAAAAGCAGCTTCACCAATGCCAATGAATGCTGGGGCTTACATAAAATGCAATTAATGATAGAAAATCCAAATAAATGGAAGAAGAAATCTTTGATTTAAAATTACAAAAGTACGTAAAATTAGGCAAAGCAGCAACCTTATTTTGGCATAACTTTTAAATAAGACTGCTGTTTTACCTCATTTTAAGTTTTAGATTGGCATGTTTCTCTTCCTTTTTAGTCATTTTATCTGTTATCAACTCGAATATTAAAAGCCTATATTTAAATTATGCAAGATTTTGTGAAAAAAATGGCCATCCAGATATAAAAGCCAGAGAATTCATGTCAAGTCCAATTATGAAATCCTGTCAATCATGATAATTAGTGGAGATCCTAGTTCTTAATTTAGCTTAATAATCAATATACAAATTATGGACACCTGGGTTTATTTTTAAGGTTGCATACCGTGCCATTAACACACACTTTTCTTGATGTCAGATTCCTGTAATTTTTAAAATAATCTTCAAGCTGTTCCAATGAAGGTAGGTCCCAAATTTTAATGATTTTTTTTTTTTTTTTCAAAATGTGATGGGAAAACAGATCAACAGCAGTTAACTTATATCCTACTTTAAAATAATAAAATAGTTTATCACAAATAAATAAAACCTTAAAAAATAGTGTCTCCATGGCACGGGGGCACTTAAAATACACTGAATCAAAATTTCTGTCAAGGGGCTTCATGGTAGGACAAAAGGGGTAGGGTGGCCTTGGAGCCACCTCTCAAGGAATTCTTAAAAACTGGAATGGAACTTGATAAGTTACACTGTTACCTATGAGATTTTTAAGACCCATGTCAACAAAAAACGTAATTCCATCCTTCTCACCAAGATAAAATTTGTAAATTTCACTATCAGACAAGTCAGATAAGTCATAACACAAATCTATCATTTGCTTAATTAAACTTCTAAAATTTAAAAACATCTGAGTTACTTGAGTTTTCCAGCTAGTTTAATGATGAACTGTCAGGCTTTAACATTATTAATTTAGCTATATGCCTATGTTTCATATATTTTCTTCCTATTATAAAAACTAGTAGGCTGTCCAGAAACTACTTCGTTTTTTAATTTAAACACAAAAATTCTTATATAAAGAAATAATTTCAAGCATGGATTGACCATTTTGTACAATAATCATTTGCCATCTTCCAGGGAATTTCATGGTTCTATTTTCAAAGAATTTTAGATATTTATCAGGGGGGGGATAAGCAGGCTTTGACACTCCTATCTGAAATGAAGCTTTTATATCCTAAAGAGTTTTACATGATTAGAAACAAATGCTAGTCTGATGCACAATGTCAGGAGTATATGCTGGGTGCAGTAACACATTCCAAGCAAGCTCTAATTTCTGATTGACTGAAAATATTATGGTTTAGCACTGTTAAGATGGAACTTTATAAATTTACAATTCACCAATTATGGATGCTCCTGTTGAAAAACATCTTTCAGTTTTCACAGCTATTGACAATACACACTAGAACTTATCATTCCTTGGTAATGTTCAAAACACATGTTTTACTTATAACATCCCCCCAACGAACAAATTGATAGTATGTTCCTTTGATGAACGCTTGAGCTGGCTCAACAGGCTTGGACAATGATCTTTCATATATAATGTTACTTTAAACAACATATTTTTCATCAAGAGTTTATCAATTATTTAAAAAAATGGATAACTTGGTTTATGTTAGGTAACTGACCTCGTTCGAACGGCGTTTTTTAAAATGTTTGCTATATTTTTTAATTTATGTAATTTTTAATGGATGGCCTCATACTTAATCACTACAAAAATGATAAAAATTCATTATTTTAAGATACTTATGAAAAAAACTGAAAATTTTAGGTCATAATTAATAGAAACATCAGCCATCACTGACAAGAAAATATTGATGATAAAAACATAATTTTGGATTTAGGTTATATATGCTAACCAGAAACACACAGTGAAGTAGAATAATTGGAAAACATTGATTTACTAGTAATGTATGGCTAACTTTGTCAGTCAGCACTACATGATTGATTTTTTAACTTCTACTCTACAATATGCATAATAATTATAAAATATGTGTGCAAAATTTTAAGTGACAATGTGCAAAAGTGTGCAAAATTTTAAAATTTTCGCTTTTTTGAACAACTATGTATATATTTAGAACTTTTGATTATTAAATATAATAAAAAACAGTAAAATAAATTAATCTTTAGCTGATAAATTAGTGTAGGAAGTTTGTACACAAAACAGAAATATCGAAAGCTCAATAGAAACAACACAGTAAATCTGAAACATCGTTGACAAATGAAAATGAGAAAATACGTAATGAAATAAATGAAAATACTTTTTCATTCAGTTTTTCCAGACAGTTTCTCCAATTATACTGAAATGCTTAAAATGATTTAGTTCATAAATAACATAGAAAAACGTGAAAACTGCACCTTTAAACTTTGACTTTCAGTACAGCAAACAGTTACTTCCAGTTCATAATCTCTCTCAGAAAAGTTTGTATATCTCCACTTCTAATAAACATATCAAGAGAAAAGTAGTTTTTGATAGCTAAGAATGTACCTTTTAAAAATATCAAATAATAATAATAAAATTGGGTTTCTTACTTGAAATTGACCTTTTGAATGAGGTCGGTTACCTTTTATGTGTTGTGTGCTGTTTTAAGTTTATTCACATTTAAGCAAAAACTTTTTCAAAACCAAGCTTTTCCAAACAGAATGTTTGTTTTGGGTGAATTTAGACTCTCAGCAAGCTCATGATACAATTACAAGAGAATCGACTTCTTTGAACTATTTTAAACTGTTATCAATAATCTGAGTTGGTCAACCAGAACATGCCACATCTTGAATTGAAAAATTATCAGAGTAGAAATCAGTTCTAGCATATGCTACTACGAATACGTTATCAACATACTCAGCACAAATCCTTTATGTGCATCTACATCTCTCTTATTTTCCAAAAATAAAAATAAATAAACTGTGCAAAAATGTTAATTTTCATCTCCTATCCTTCAACATAAAATGGTAATGACATCCTACAATTCTGATAAGTTTGATTTAAAATGCATGCTGTTATATCAGTTAGTATAACGCATTCCCCCCAAAATGTTATAAATAACATTAACTTTATCTGCATGTTACTGTAAACTACTTTATAAAAAAACCACAATAATTTCCAGACAACACAATATATTTAACAAGCACTGCTTACAAATGCACAAATCAGAATTTGTTAGAATACTAAGAATATGCTTGCCCTTAATAATTAAGATAATTGCTTACCCTTGTTTGCGTTTTGGCAATATATTGCTGCAAAGCCTTTCCAATTCGGCTTTTAAGGGTTGGAAAACTCCTTCTGCTTGTTCCAAACTTTCACGATCTTCAGCAGAAGGTGTAAGCTTTTTTAACATCTATAAGAAATCAATGCAAATACAAGTCTACAGACTACAGCAAAAAATACCACCATGAAACCTTCATTAAATAAAGAATACATTACTATTAATTACAGTTGCACATACAAGTTATGTAGATTTTGGTAGGCTTTATTTTCTCAAATATTGTGTTAATCTGTAGTTCCAGAAAATATTAAACAAACAAGAATAATCAACATACGAATTATTTATAGACTGAGCTTGTAAACCAAATGAAAAAGAAGTATGCTTTGAATATCTAGTTTAGTAGTTAAGTAGTTCATTATTAATCCGAGTAAATAATACATTAATTTCTTTTTTAATTAATTAAAAGAGTCACTATAAATCATTATAATTAAAATATAAAGTCCATAAGCAACTAAAATAATTAAACTATTAAAAACTAATTTTGCTCCATCTTCCAATTATTACTGAAATCAATGGTTGTCAAATGGCAATGTGTGCTCTGCTCGTGAGAAGAAATTATTCTACCAATTCCCTTTTTGAAGAAAACTTCACAGAAGTTCCTTTCCAAGACAAGCTTCACAAGTTGTACAATCAATTTATTAACCAAATTAAAACTTTATTTTTGCTAAACCATACAAATTGTGATATCAATTAAATATTGAAAACTTTACCAAAGGATTTTAGATCTCTAAAATTATGCAGACTTTCTATACTAAAACATACAACAATAAGTAAGAGCTACCAATTGTAACCATTAAAAAATGCATAAGTAAATCCATAAAAAAGAGCAACAAAACAGCTACTACAGTATACAGTATATGGAACTAAAGGTGATAATAGTAGTATATGGAACTAAAGGTGTAAAGGAACTAAAGGTGACCCAAAAATATTTATGAAGCAAGCAAATGATTTAATTAGTTCAAGGGAATAATTGCTTTTATAATTATCACAAATAATTTTGAATACTTTGATATCACAAAGCTTTTTCATACTCAGAGTCTTTCCATTTGAATGAACCTAAATATAAGTTACTGAACAGTAAAAAACTGGCATGAAAATGAAAATATTTAACCACACCAATGACTCATTTCTCTACACACAAACGATTCTAGATATTCAGAAGCAAGATATTGTTTTCAGAATTCATTCCATAAAAAAATTACGTGCAACTGGTTTTACATTTAATATTAGCACCAGTGCAAATGAAAGTTATCTAAAACTTTTTCCTCTTAATAGTTAGGTATTTGCTTGAAAGAATTTATCAAGAATGCTAAAATCATCAGTCATTTAGTTGTGTCATCACTAAGAACATTGCCCAGGGTTCATTTCAGTCAGTAGATTAAGCAGGCAATCTCAGGCAGAAGACATCCATAAGTGGAATACATGTACTGCCAAGCCTTACACAGGATTTACACCAAATGCTTGTTTTTGGGTGAGCAGAAAGTCTTTGTTACCTATTACACCATAGTGGCTCTGTATTAAACATAAAATATATACATTCAAAAGTAATAAATCTAAAAATAACTTTTGAATAAATAAAATTTTGAACAATATCTTACCTTTAAAAAATCAAAATACTGAAAACAATGAAATACTGGTCCTAATAGCAATTTTGGCAAAACATATTTCACAGCCTGAGTAAAGCCATGGCCAGCACTCTGCAACATTAAAAATACTTTCAGCACATCATAAAAACTCTGCTTTAAAACCTGTTTTTTAATTAAAAAAATATATGATGTAAATGTTTTGAACTTCAGAAATATTGTAAATTGTTTAAATAAGTATCTTACTGCACATTAAATGACCATTTTATTATGTACACTTTCTTAGAAAAAGTAAATTGCTCCAGCAGAATAAGCAATACTACTATTATTAAATTAAATAAAAAAATTTTCATTGGTTTATGATTTTATGAATTAGGAAGAATTTTCCAGAGAGCAGACTAAAAGTTCGGAACAAGCATTCAATGTGAAATTCACATAATAAGTAACTGTATAAAAATAATTCACATAATGGCTATAATCACAAAATAATTTAAATAGAAATTACAAAAAGAAACTGAAGAAGATCAATAATACTAGCTTCCTTCATGAAAATGGCAAAGAATTTGTTATTTTATTTTTTATTCTTTAATAAAAATATTTCACCTTTTTCATTGCTCATATGAATTCTTAAGAATCACTTCACAGAAACTAAGATAAAAAATACCCATTTTTTATTGAAGAATTTGAACAGTAATTAAGTTTTCAAATTAATTAAAGTTAATTAAGTACAAGAAAAGATTTCACATACATGGTACTGCTGCCTCCACTTTTCTTAATAAATTCTAAAAAATCTTACACTTTTACCTACTATAATATATAGAGAGACTGTAATTTGCATTATTCAATACATAACTTTCCAAATGTTTTAGTACAGCAAAATCATGTGGGGGGGGGAGTAGCAATATCTGAGCTCGACATAATAATAACAATCAGATATAAGGGGTTAAAATGAGAAATGCATTAACTCATCAATCTAACTGATGATAACTTCAAATAAACTGAAATTTAAACAGAATTTTCTTTCACCAGTTTAAAATTCTCACTATCTTGTAAAGGGGATTTATCTTGCGAAGAAATCTGGAATTTCATTTCTTTATGGTGCAAATTATTTTTAACACAGAAGGTGAACATATATATTAAGAGTAATATAAATACTGAAAAAAGAAATGAAAATAAATCTTGAAGTCTAGAACAAAAAGACACTAGTACTACCCTGATGTGTGGAATCAAAAGATAACTAAGAAAATTCATCATCACTTGTAAAGTATGGAAAAACAAAAGATCTCACAAATAACACTAATGTGAAATGCATAAAAGACAAAGTAGAATACTGACAAATAATACTGATTTTCAAAATTAAATAATAAATTAAAAAATAATTCAATTTTATTTATGGTATATGCAAAAGAACATTCTGAATGTTTATACAGAATTAAACAGACGAAAACATGCAAATTAAATACAGCAGAATTGTATGCTAAAAATTTGTAGAGATAACACATGTAAAATTAACAAAACAAAAGAAGAGGGAAGAGAGAAAACGAAAGTATGTTTCGATGTCCATCAAACAAAAGTGGAAATTGCTGCAAAAATGGATAAAGACATGAAGAGGTGACAGAGAGGTTAGTGAAAACAAAAAAATTCGATTGAAAGTTAGCGGTATTCTCGGACGCAATTACGGGACTTTACCAGCGGAACTTTGTAACTGAACAAGAAATTATGTCTGTTTATAGAATAAAGAGAAAGTTTATCACATAAAAGAGCAACTTAAACATTACATTGAAAGAAATGTTTAATAAAGTAAACAAATAAATATTAAGCTTTTTTTTTTTTTTTTTTTTGTAAATGTTGATACTCTTTAGATCATAATTGTTCTTTATTTCATTAATTACGGTTTCATATTTTTAATTTTAGAAGTTCTGCATGTCATCTTACGAGATTTAAACTGATGATCTATCTATAATCCGGAATCGCCAAAGTCCTTTTAAATAAGGATTAACGGCTTTTGATTGTACTTATTCTGGTGATGATGTCTGTGATATCAGAAAAGAGTTGCCTAGCAGTAGCATGATGACTACATCAGACAGACAGTGGTCCTTAGATGTAAAATAATCCTTGGACTACCCTACTTTTTCTAATTAACATATCCAATAATAATAATAATTTGTCTATATCCTTAATACTACATTCTATGGAAATTTAAATCCTTGGAAAGAGCCAAATATCTACAATTACTCACAGCTGACATTCATTTAAATCAAGAGTGGACAAATACCTATAACCACGGGCCAAAATGATCTTTAGTGCATCAAGTGGCAGGGACATGCTTGTGTAAAGATTTTTTGCTGTATCCTACTGTTTGCTAGGATGTGACAGAAGGGAGGAATGCTTCTTCTCAATGGCGCTGCATGCGAATTAACCAATGAAATATAAAATGCACACATAAATTTCAAGGAATGTGACGCAAAGAATCTGATGGGGACACCACATGACTTTGTATGGAAGATTTTTTGATGCATTTCATTTAAACTTATTTCCCTGAATTTCATTAAAGATAGATTTCTCATTCAATCAATTCAGTTCTCACTTTGCAGGAAGGCAAAAATACATAAAACTTCAAAATATCCTCATTAAAGATTGAAAGATATAGGAAAAATATAAAACACCAGATACAATTAAAACAATTTAAAAAAAAAAAAAAAAAAAAACAACCAATTGAAATTAGAGTTTCTATGCACAAACAAGCAATTCGGTCAGCAGGCAATTTGGCAGATTTTTCGGTGCACAAAACTGAAAGTTTATTTTTGGTCCCACTTGGCAAAAAAACACTGAAGGTGCAGAAATGTTTATTTCCTCTGATAATTTATTATTTGAGGTACTATTAATTTACTATTCTGATAAGTTTCAAATGCAAACGAATATGGTTGCTATGGTTAAAAAAAATGAGGCTTAGCCGAATTTAAACAACTTTTAAATTGCTGATAATTCTACAACTATTTCATGCAGATTAACTAAAGGCATAAAAACCTTAACTGGAAGATAACAACATAATTCAATGGTTTTTAAAGCAAAAAATGCACAATTTATCAACATATAAGACTAAAAAAAAAACTGAGCTCAGGGAGCTGAGTAACAGAGTAGGTATATATATATATATATATGTATATGTACCTACTCTGAGTTTAGTTGCGCCACTGAGTTTAGTTTTATATATATAATTCAGTGGCGCAATGCATTTTTTTTTTCTGTTTTCTTTGGGCCCCGGAGTGCATCAGCATATGCCCTGGACAACCGGTGAGCTTGTCGCAGAACCCCTGGTGTTTAGTCCCAGTGCGAACTTGGTACTTATTTTATCAACTCACTTAAAGGATGAAAGGCTGAGTCAGCCTTGCCCAGCACGGGAATTGAATTCTGGACCTGTGGGACAGTTGCGCAACATGCCAGCATCTTCCCCACTGGGAGGTTTTATATATATATATGTGTGTGTGTGTGATACTTTAGCAGTCGTGGAGCTCGGCATCAAAGTTCAGGCATGGCTTTTCGCAGAGTGGTAAGGAGGATATCCAAAGACGACACAAATTGATTTAGCTTTTAATAGCCCATTTTTATTTACTCCAATTAGCAGATCATTTTCCTTTTAGACAGCACTCTTCAAATTACATATCCATAGTGGTTTTAACTAAGTATGATTGAATTTAAACTTTATGCGTCATAACTAATTCTAACAAAAGAAGAAAAAATTGGACAGGGCAGCGCAGAGTCTTGTAGAGATTAGGAAGCAATCTGACTCAAAAATGGCACATAGTCAGTATTTATAGTAACGTTTACGTAATAGCCTAGCAAATTCTAGAAGGTACTGGTCTAGGAAAAAGATTGTGAATTGCAGAATGTTAATTAAGGGTTGTGTGTTCACGAAAAGCAAAGCCATCATATTTTTTTTTATATTTTACATATATATATACTTCTAATGAGGCTGATTGCAACCAAAAAGGGAGATGCACAACTACACGTTACAGCAGTCCTATCTACAAAATTCAACTTTCTGAGGATAGTCGTTTTCGAGTTATGTGAAATACAAACACACGAACGTACATACAGACATAAAAAAAAAAAAAAAAAAAAAAAAACCACCTTCTGAATTCATTTTATAATTTGCTTGGGGGAAAAAGTCTTTTATTCTGTCTTTACATACAGATGTCATGCAAAGAATCCTTAAATTGCATTCGATAGTGATCAAAACGGATAGTTACGTTGAAATATGGTACCCATAATTTTTCGTGATTACACTACTTCCCTTACTTTGTACATGAAAGTAAAAATAGCATAAATGATTAATCATAAATTTTTATACATATGGATATTTGCATATAATTTTATTTTTATTATGCACATTGTGCTGTAAAAACAGTAAATAATACATAACTACATGATACGTGAAATCCAGAATATTTATTTGTGATTATTTTGAATGTTTATTTGTCTTCACCCAAATCAGGCTCCAACTCGTTTACAGCAATTCTTAACACTGAATGCAAATTTTTTTCAGTAATTTGTAGTCGCTGTTTGTTTTTCATGTGCTTCATAAACAAAAAGTTATTTTCCATAAATATGTCAATCCAAATAAAACTAAATGCTTTCTGGCATAATTCAGAAAATTTCTGAATTTATCCGCATTCAAGGTACTATGAAAATATTATTAATTTGCTTAATGAAATTTTCACAGCAGGCTGGATTAAGCAATTAAAAGGGCAGCATGATCTAACACATGAATTCTAGCAATCATTATTTTTCTCACTTGAGTTCTCTTTATCTACATATTGCGTGCGCTAACAGAGATGCAAGTATATATATTTTCAACTTCAATAATTTGAAATTACCATGCCAACCTATTTATGCACTAAAATTTTCAGTCATTACCTATGTGCTACATACCCTTTTCCAATTTATCTTTTTATTCAGCATAATAGTGCAGTTTTGATTCTCATGGATATATATATTTTAGAGTTATGAGTTAACTTCAAAGTATTCTGCAGATGAATGCTGTAGTGTTTTCCAAACGTACAATAACTTCCCTTACAATTTGTGTACAAGTAGCAGAAACATTTTCAGGCCAGTCACCTTGATAATTGAACATTTTGCAATAACTGTCACACCAGGTAGTGTGACAGCTATTGCAAAATGTTTATTTCTTCTGATCATTTATTACTTAAGGTACTATATAATTTGAAAAATTACTTGTAATGAGAATTCCCTGCAACTCACCTGTAATGCATGCCGAACATTAGGTAGCTGTAACAATGACATTAACTTATCTTTGCTTTCAGGCATCAGTATATCATGAGCATATTTGTCATATACATCAAATTCTTGATACTGAAAAGTATTAAAACAAAGGTGAGTCGACAATGTTTCAATCATTTATTACATCATCAAATTAAGCCAAAAGGGCAATCCACTCATTATTTTAAAATTTGTCACCTGATAAAAAATTGCATAAAAATTATAAATAACCAGAGAAATAAAAGTACTTAAAAAAATGCAGTTACCATTTTATTAAAAATTAAAGAGAGAGGGAAAAACTATTTTACATAGAATCCTGATCTCTAGAATAAGCTGATAACTATATCATATATTAAACGTTTAATGCCTTTACATGGTTTCTAATCTTGAAATATTAAAATCTGGGAGATTCTCCCGCAAAAACCAAGAGCTTCTGAGGGGTAATGCATGATTCACATTACTGAACTATTATATTATGATTCTAATGAAAAATATATTAATATTTAATTAGATATTCTAAAATTTTACGTTTCTCTTCCCCCCCCCTTTACTAATGTCATTCTATAATTTTCTTGCAAATTTATATTGAGAAAATCCTCAAAGGAAGAACTCTTGTAAATAAAAGTATAATAAATCATCTATCGACCAAGGTCTTTGTTACTGAACTAGGAATCAATTTAAAGAAATCAATAGAAAAATGTAACATCGCAAATGGTGCAATGAACACATGATCTTATCAATGATCGATTTTTTGCTTTTCTTATGAGTATTTTAAAGGCCATGCAACATATGTGATTACAAAGACAAAATAAATTAAATTAATAAGCAAAGTTAGAACATCACTTTTGTTTTGCAGTAATGTGAGTGATACTAAAAAACTATGGCAAGTATCAATCAGGAAATCTATAAAATCCAAGGCATTCCAGAATATTAGTATTAATTTTCTGCTAATGCATTACACCAGGAGATAACTCCCCCTCAGGGATATTTCTTAGTTGCAGGTGGAGAGGAATGCAATCAGCATTTTATTTACTGGCTAAATATTGGGATTTAGTTTTATTTTATAAATATTAAAAACTACTTTTATTCAAGTTTTGGTATCTGTTAACATTTTCTATAGTTTTTCTTGTTTAATTTACATAAAACATTAAAAAATCATCTAAATTTAAACAAAGGATTACATAATTTCCTAGTTTTGGAATGGGGGGAAGCAATGGTAAAAGGGGATGCATGCAACAAAAAAGGTTGAGAACCGCTCTACTATACAAATCAAAAATCTGCCTAAATAAGAGGAGGGGGAGAAAGAATTTTGAAACATGGTTCCATTGTAATAAGCCATACAAAGAAATTTAATTTGAAAAAAAAAAAAAAAAAAAAAGATTTTGATAAAATTTTAGAAAGATATAAAAAAGATGAAAGCAATAACAGCCAGATGCCAAATGACAACAAATTCTCAGACAAAAAAGATTGGAGATTCAAGATTGGAAAAATTAGCAGGCTCTCAAATTTTATGTGATGAAGAAATCACTGTAACTCTAAATCCAGCAAACAACAAAAACTGCAGTGATGAGAAGGGTGCTGGGGCTGATAATGAAATAAAAATGGACAATATGAAAATTGGCTAGGCTGGGAGAAGGCTGAAGCTTTGAGCTCTTCAATATAAAGAGCAACGTAATGATTCTTCTGATATGGATATTATATTGGCAAAAAACTGGAATGATCCCATGGCAGCTGATAGATATAAAGGACTATCACACACACACAAAAAAAGGTAACAAACAGTTAATAAGAATTTCTTTTTTATAGAAATGTATGTAAGAAATTTGAGGTAATTTCGAGAGAGCTTGCTTTTTTCCCCCATGAATGTTTTTGTTATGAAATAAAACTTGTGTGAATTATTTGCTTAATTAAAAATCAAATTTTATTCACTAATAAAACAGTTTATTAAAAATGTTAATAATAGTACTTGTACACTTTTTTTAGAATTCTAAGTTAAAATTTTCAAATAACTTATCAGTAAAATTAGCATGATTGAAAAATTTTCATATTTTTCAAATTTAGTCTATATTAACGAGCTTCCAATTATCCAAGGTAGCTATTATGCCAACTAGTTTGGGTAATTAAAGCTCTATTGAATAAAATTAATAATTAATGTATATCCTATTGTGTGGATAAATTAGTAACATAAAATATATTGATGCAAAACAAAACAATGCATTATGAAAAATATCATAGATTTTGATCAATACCATAGATCTCTTGTTATGTACACCAAAGACTATACATATCCGCAAAGCATGTACATTTTCATTCCGAAGCATGATCGCTTTAGTGGAATATACTGTTCCCATTTTAGCCTTCCTCTGAACAACACAAGTCTCTTGTCAATGGTAACACCGCATTTAGAGGTAATAATTTCTTGGAAACGAATTTTTTAAATGCTTCAGCACAGACGAGATTTTTGCTAACTCTGGGCACTCATGAGAATTGACGTGAAATTCGCCATTATCTGAAAAATGTCAATATTTGTAAATTAATTGGAAACGACAATACAATATCAATTTGGGGGGGGAAAACACGGTGTTGATGTAGAATGTCTTATGTTCTAATGCTGTTCAACTACTTGCCTTTTTATAATACCTTGAAGAGTATCCAAAGCAAAAAAGTACCTGCATTTCATCCTTTGATGTAAGCAGCCATTTTTTTCATCTGGAATGCTTATGAACTATACTGTTTCGTATGCATTGTTCTGTATATCTATTTGTTTCTAAAACAATCAGGGCAAACAATGGAGTTACAGTGAAAGCAAATCTAGGAGGCAGAATGAAAGGATTATTATAATCAATTACATAAAATTGCCTTGCTTGACTGAAGCCATCTGTACATTAGAGTACATCTGTACATCAGAGTCACTAGTATCGAAGTTATCTAGTGAATTCTCACTACTATCAGAATCATTTACAATTATTTCAGATTCTTATTCTGAGTCACAGTCCAAATCGAAAGCAAGTAGTTGCATATGCTCTAAATCTGCCATTATTTTAAAGTAAAAATACATTGCAACCACTCAAATATCTCATGACTGCTAATCTAGGATAAGAAATCTTAGATAAATTCCTTCCTTCATAAACAAATAAATTACATTGTGCTTTGTCAAGTCAAAAAGCATCAATTTTAACAATGGGAAACAAAAAGATGAAGCAGAATTTTAGATTTGCACGAGAAGTACATAACAGATTTTTGATGTAACTGTGCTTATGACTCCCATGGATTAAAACTGCTTCCAAAACCTAGTATCAGCACTCTTATGTTCATGCTAATGATAATCAAATATTCAAATCTTATTAAATACAGCATAAGATGTCAACCAGGTTTTTGTAATCCAAGATCAAATCTTACATCATATAAGATGTTTTACCTTTATTATTTCAAATATGTTTCCTTTCAAAGGGAAGCAAAATATCTTACCTCTGCTAATTCTTCATAACAAGCTCCTATAGAAGGGTTACGATTTTCTTCTGCCATTTCCAGGGCATCTTCAAAAGTGCCCAATAACGAAACAGAAAAATCATATATTTCCAAAATGTTACTAAATATTATGTCTAAATCCTATAAAAAAGAAAGAAAAACACATATACAATTCATTAAAATAGCCAATTTAATTTTTTAAACCTTAGATATTTCAACTACAAAATCAGATATATTTCAAAAATTGTAATGTAAAATAAGACACTCAGAATTGAACACAGGAGAAAATATATACCTTTGAAGAAATTATTATTAGGAAAAAAAAAAAAAGAAAGAAAGAAACTGATTATTCCAGTTATAATATTTCACACCACACACACACCTGAAAAAAAAAAAAAAATTCAGACTTTACATGATGCCCAAAGAGACCTTTTTTTTAAATGTTTTGTGTGTTACCTTTATTTATTAAATGTCATGTTTATCACACTTAAACCATAAAATTACACTTAAACATAAATTCATTCAACAGCATATCACAAAATAATTTTTAAATGAGCATATCTTTAGAATTTCCGATACACAGTCTTGCGCACTGGTGATAATTATTTTTTATTTTCCCATACAGTGTTGCCACTGCTCACTTTGAAACTGTTGAGTTCGTTAATCAAAAATTTGTTAAAGTTTTACAAAATATAAAATAGATAATAAAACAGATTCCAAATTTGGGCTTCCAGATGCTCATATTCAGGTGGAAACATACGTTATTCAAAATTTGATGGCGTGGACCGTTGTTTATCACAATGCGAGAAATATACATGCATTTATGCAGATTCATTATTTAATTACTTTAAATATAAAATGCAGGCCTCTAATATTTGGTGGCTACAATTTAAAAAAAGAATCAATGTTTATAGTAATCAAGCAAATAAATATATATGCTGGGCAAATTGGTTTTTTAGACTTAAAATATATATATTACCAACAAGTAAGAAAAAATTATTACATGAAAACTAAAAACTCTAGCAATAATATAAATGGTTGCTATAATTTTAAAAGGAAAGTTTTTAAATAAGATGAAGAGAATGATTATAAGATTTTTTTAATAAAACTGATTGAAATGAAATTACATTTATTGGAAAAATCTGAAGTAATACAGGAAGATGCTTGTAGATAACCTCAATTTTTAATAGGTGCCTTCCTCAAATTATAATTAAAAAATTATAAAAGGTACTTAATTGAAGTATCTAAAATAAATTAACAAATACTTTAAAATCTCCTACTGACTACCCTATCATTTGTGAAGTCAATAATGAAACATTGAGAATAAAATAATAAAATGAAATTTAAAAAATAATAAAAAAGGGTATTTTAAATTAACGCTTTTTATTTAAGAAACTTTGGTAAGAATACAAAACTAATACGGTTTCATAATGCAGCTTATATTTTTTCATACACACTGGTGAAATAAATTAAGAGAATTTGCATATTAGATCTACGGTCTCCAGAACTACTGGACAGATTTTAATAAAATTTGGTGTGAACATAGGTTGATATTATAAAAATAAAATTAACATTCAACAGTTATAACAGACACACATGTTCATGTGTAACACTCATAGGAATCTGAAGGTCCGAAACAGTGGTTGCAGTAGACACTTGAAATGGGTTAATAGGGGGTATGGTCCCCTCTTACAGCCATACAGTCCTCACAGCATGATGTCATACTGGAAATAAGGCAGTTTATCAGTACCTGTGGCAATTGGTCCCACTCATTCAGCAACGTTGTTTTCAGCGGTACAGGTCAGTTCGACACCAACGGTTCAACGCCAGCGTTTCGAAGCGTGGTCAATTCTACAAGAGGTCGTTTCGATGCGGGGTCAGTTCGACGCCATACTTTTTTGCTTTTGCTTGAAGGCATACTTTTTGTATTTTTATTTATTTTTAGAATAAGTTTGCATCATCATTCACATAAATTTGGTGTCATCATCATTTGGTGTTTCACACCCCACATTATGGGAATTCATAGATGGTCTCATGCGTGTTCAAAAATCAATTGATCAATGTTATGAACAATTTGTACGTGGAGATGAACCGCCACACAAGCAGAATAGGTATCTGCGAGCTGATACAAGAATTAAAGTAATAGTTGAAGATTTTGAAAATCGAGAAATAATGGAATACCTGAAAAGTGTGGCGCATAATTTTGCAATGGATTAGTATAATAACAGTTCTGTGATGTAATCTTATTTATCTCTAATCTTATTTATGTGTAATCTTATTTATCTGTAATTATATTTGTCTGCAATATAATATAACTACTTTATAACCATATGTTTATTTACCATTTGTGTATTTTGCCTTTTTGATGCTGTTTTGTGAAATAAATAAATAAAAAAAACCCTCCCCTCATGTCCCGGGGCCTTGACGTTGGCGAGGGGGCTTCTCACTTATCTGGGACACAAACAAAAATCTAGAACACTTTCACATATATTTACTTCAAATATGCATGCAAACAATTTCTAATTCAATAAGTAAAAATGTCATATTACTTCATATTTATTCTAAAAGTAAATAAAAATATGGCGTCGAACTGCCCCTGCATCGAAACGACCTGCTTTGGTTTTCAGTACCTGGATGGTTCTCAGAGGTGGGTTGCAAGTTGCAATTGCCCTCCCCAGAGCATCCCAGACATGCTCTATAGGTTTGAGGTCTGGAGACCTGGCTGGCCAATCCATCCAGCAAATATCTTCCCTCTCGAGAAATTCATCGACCATAAGAGATCAAAGTGGCCTCGCATTATCGTCCTGCAAGATGAACTCTGGGTCCACTGCACCCCTGAAAAGGCGAACATAGGGCTCCAAGACCTCATCACTATACCTCACACCAGTCACAGAGCCTCTGTCAAAGACGTGGAGAGACGTGCGGCCATCCAACATGATGCCTGCACGTACCATTACACTGCCACCACCATAACTGTTGCTTTCACGGACATCGGAGTTTAGGTAGTGGGTCCCTTGCTCTCTCCATATGAAAGTACGGCGAGAATTGGTGTTTAGACTAAAACAGGACTCGTCGGTGGACAGAGCGGTCACCCATTGCTCCATACTCCAATCACTATGCTGCCTGCATCATGCTAATCGCACTCTCCTAGACTCGTTGACGTGAGCGGGATGCAAACAGCAGGTCTTCTGCAAACAACCCTCTCTCATTCAGCTTTTGGAAACAGTCACCCTTGTTAGACAGATTCTTGTGGCTGCATAAAGGTCCCAAGAGTGCTGAGAAGCTGTGCTAAAAGGGACAAATAGCGATCTTTTCTAGCCGTAGAGGTTCTTGGATGACCTTGCCCAGGCTTTCTCTTGATGGATCCAGTATCCTGGAACTGTTTCCATAGGTTACACACGATGCTGGACGTTAAATTAAACTTCTCTGCATATCTGGACTGGCCTGCCTCTAGCCTCCCCACAATTTGCCACCTCATTCCATCATCTAAACGTTGGTGGTTACTCATTTTTACTGTTCAGATGTGAATTTAACCAATTTTTCCAAGATAACACAAAGAAATTTGTCGAGGTGTGCTAGTGAACGCAATTCGTCTTACCCTCCATCCGCTTACAAAGACTGTTTTTCTGCTGGCTTTCCCCTAAACACACGTGCACGCTTATGTATTTGCAGTACAAGATTTGCATTTTTATCTAGAAGCAGTGGTTTTTCCTTCAGTTCAGTTCTTTTCCCGCAATTCGATAAAATATTCAAATTCTCTTAATTTATTTCACCAGTGTAAATGACAGATTATTATTTTTATGTGAAGTATCAGATACAGCCTCGCAGCATAAATTAGCTATCGCCAAAGATATGCGTACACACAAAATTATCCTTTGCTACAGAAATTACATATAAAGTCCAATTAATCTCATTTTAAAATTAAAAAAAAATTCTTTTCTTCTCATTGCATCTATTTTAATATATAACATGCCTAGTTATATTTTTTCAAAATGTAAATGCGTCAGTTCTTCTACTCAAATAGCTACCCGGAAAGATAAAACTTGTTCTGTACAAATATATCTCTGCACAACACAGTACTCTTTTCACATTAGTTAAATGGTGACAAAGAACATATTACAATATGATAACATTATAATAATAATAATAATAATAATAAAAAGGCAGCCCCAAAACACCACATTAGTCCAAATATCATCAATAAATCAATTGATGATACTGGCAGTTAATATTATTATCAAAAAATAAAAGTCATCTTATTACTGCCATTCATGACAATATTCGTAATTAGCACACTCAATTTACTTGCCAGCAATGAGATTACTCATTACTGATCGCCTTACCTAAATTACCAAATATGAGCATTTCAGATGCAAATTTAAAGTGTTTGACATACAGGAAGGAACTAAATAAATACACCCGGCATACTGAAATGGATCATTTATTTCCTAAAATCTAGATATAAGTAAACATTTAGAATGCAAAACATTTTTTTTTTTTTTCACCTGGGAAACATTATAAACCGAATGCTCAAATTCTTGTTCAGTGACTTATAAGTAAAGGGAAAATAACATATTGCACTTGCAGGAGATATGCATGAATGCACAAAGTGAGCGAGTATTACTTACCTTGTTCTAAGTTATCTCATAGCTGGCATAAGGAGCAAAAATATTATGTTAACTACAAGTATACTCATCTGAATTTATTTACTGCTAAAAGTAATATCTGTTATATCTATATTTAAATAACAAAACAATAGAAAATAATTTAAAAGCATAAAAATGTAGATAGGATCTGGGCACGAATGAATAGATACACCATACCAACTTTGGCAGCCAGCATGTTAAAATGTTCACCTCTGGTAAAATTTCAGAAGTGTTCAAAACCATTAATGTTACCTCCAAGTCCTTGCTTCTTAACTTTCCTTATCTCTCTCTTTCAGAATGTACACATGTAATTTTTAAAGCTCTGAAACTTAGCGTAAATGTTTATTTTAGCAAATTTTAAGATCTCAAAGAATGTTCACACACATACATCTGATATTTGTTTTTTCATTTAATATATTTGTTAAACATTCAACGATTCAAAATCACTGCAGTCTGTCATTTTGGTGTAAAAGATGAATAGAAAGACAACTCAGCCTCCTGCAGTTTCGTGTACAACTTTTGTAGAGAAGTAGGTAAAATTCAGCCTTCACGAAATTCTGGTCCTTTTTTTGTGTCTGTTTATTCAATGTTTGTGGCAAAATCTGAATTGTTTATGACTCTAAGCCCTTTTTTTCTTTGTTTCAACCAACTGTGCAAAACTGAAATTCCATGCAGCAGTATATATTAATATAAGCAACACGGCACAGAAATATTGCTTTTCATAATGCAGTTGATGAACTTTTAAGTTTTAATAATTATTTACAGCTGAGGATGTCACACAAAAGTATATATTTACACAACGCAAAAAGCTAATGTGTGTATGTATTTAGTTACAATTCAATAAACTACTCATAAAGCAAGAAATGTCTTTATAACATTAGGAAAAAACTCTTACTTTACTCTTTGGAAATATTTCAGCAAAAGGCTCCCTAAAAACTTTAATTATCATATTTAGATCTCTGATATATTGTTTTTCTTCATGAATAAGATCCTTCACAACTTCATCATAAGTTAATGATGTTCTTCGAGTTGGTTCTTCTTCAATGCTTAATGCTACATCTTCATCTTGGTAAAACATGTCCATGAGAACCTAAAATTTTTCATAGAATTATATTTGAAATTTAACTTTGAATTAAATGAACAGAACAATTAAGGGACACTGATTAAATTAAAATAAATAATTAACATAAAATATATTCTTTGCATACATGCAAATGTACATGATGACCTACTTAAAATGTACAAATTGTTACCTTTCAGAAAAACAAATATTTATGAAAGGCAAGAAAGATTTACTTAAGATAATGTGCAACAAAATTACAGAAATTCAAATATACATATTCAGATATTCCAAAAACCATTTGATAATTTTATATATGCACCAAACTGAAATTTTATTAATTCTATTCAAATTTATAGTGATAAAACACATTTAGAAAATGAAATAAAACCTAAGTTATTAAAACCAATTTATTAAATAATAAAACTTTGGTTTCTGAATTTAATTCATTCCTGAAGGCTGTTCATTAACTGAAATGGAATATTTTCCCAGAAAATGAAATAAATAAAAACTGGAAAATGAAATAATTTCCCTGAAGGAATTAATGTAAAAGGGATTAAATTTCACATAAACCACATGAATGCTTACTTAAAATTTTACAACACACAAATTCATAACTGCCATAAATATAATAACAAAAATGATAAAACACAATATTAAACAGATAAATAGAACAAAATTTTAGTTTATTACATTGTATCTGTGCGAAGCAGAGTGAACGGCATAGGTGGAAAATGACTAAGATGTTTGGAGCAAAACTCCCATACAAACATCAGGTCGGTAACTGTTTTTAGAGAACATCTTCATTCACTTTTCTTTCTCTAAATATCATCTGATTCTGAATGAGACTCACCGGGCTTCCATTTCACTCAAAATTTGTCTAGTGTGATTTTTTGTTGCCGCTTTTTATTTTTCTAAAGTGAGGCATGGCATTGCCCCTGAAAATACTTGTGATGTGCTTTACAATTGCTTTATTAGGGTGATATTAATACACGAAAACTTTGCATCTTATGTAATTTTGCAAATCACAGAAAACTAGGCTCATTTTTTGTACTTCCTTTTCTTCTAATGATACTTCTTCGACAGTCAGGTTTTGTTACTGCTTCTGAAGTTGCAGTTCTGTCTTGCACGATTTACTTTTATGGTCCTCTGTCTTCATTATTGACTTTCACCCACAGTTTTGCCTACACACATAACATAAATAAAATTAAAAAATAATAATAATAATAAAAAGCTTAAGTGCCAAAGAACTCATAGTCTCTGCCTGCCACCCAATCTGGCCATAATTTTCTCTGGGTAGAATTCGTGGTCCTGAAAGTCATCTACTGCCAGGTTTTGTTAATTAAGAGTTAACCAACAGAAAATATAGATATTTTCAAATTATGTGGCACGGGTTACCTCAAAACACTTTTGCAAATACTATGTTGTCAAGTTGAGTGTTCGTAACTCGAGATATTATTTTCATCTGAGGCATTTTTTGTCAGATATTTGTTAGTGAAACAAATTATTCATGTTAAGTGCTTGTGAACTGAGGTGCCAGCGTATGTGAATACAAACTTCTCACATGAATATATAGCCTGTCCCTCCCACAAAATGCTCAAAACTTTTTTGATTTTCTTAATATTTTATGAAAGAAATGAAAAAACTAATAAATCTGTACACACTATTCAAATACTCGAGCATGTCAAAAGTATTATAAAATTTATATTATATTAAATTATTTCAACAGGTTTCAAATCAAATTTATTTGCTCTGCAATACTATTTTTATTTAAGCAGAAAAATTTAAATTCATTTTCATATATAATTATGTAGGAAGTTAAATTACTATATTTTGTAAAATATATTTCTTATTACTGAAAGTGTTATATATCCAAATTTTTTCTAGATATCACAAGGTAAGAAATACTATGAAAGCACATTTTTAAGAGTATAAAAAGCTTTAACTCAAAACTGACGTACACGTATAAAGTTTTCTTTTTAAACCAACTATATTAATCATTTAACAAAGAATAATACTACAGGACTTCTTAAATTTTTTATTACTAAGGAATATTAATACGCATCATTTAGTTCGTCTTTTAAACTGTCAACACTTTTGTATTTTAGGATTATTATGAACTCAAAAATGACTAAAATTTCACTTCAAATTTCAACAGGTTTTTTACACCAAAATTAAATTAGAAAAACAAAAGTAATGAAATATTTTAAGAGCTGTTTACTATATAACAAAACTTTGATATTTTTTTAATCATCAACATATAATAATCACATAATCTGATAATCATAATTAGATAACTTGATAATACTCAGGTTTACAGTTATTACTAAATTATAATAAAATCATATCCTACCTTATCAGCACACATGGCAACTTTAATATCTTGACAAGTAATTTCAACATGACGAATGTTTTTAACATAATTTCCTGCCAACTAAATAAGATAATAAATTTTAACATACATCACATAAAATCTTAATTGTTATAAATTCAATTTTGAAAGTATGAATTACCTTTAGTATGTCAGCTGATATATATTCCAATACAGCTACAATGTACTGAGTTACTTGTATGTCTACCTTATACCCCAAAATCTCCTAAAAAAAGATAAATTTTGAAAAATACATAGCTAACCAAACAAAAATCACAATGCATCTTCCTATATATCAGAACTAATTACCACCTTCACCAATTAACAACATTTTATCCAATAATGATAAGGTATAAATAAATGTTAATATACTATGTGACAGTGAAAATGCAACACCATGAATGCATGCTCCAATGATTATGCAAATTACAGGGTAGACACAGTGCACATAGTTGTATAAATGACGCAAAATGACTTCGTTTGCTTGCAACTCATTCTCACACAGGTGAAGCAAAAAACAGGAAAGGAACCTGCAGTATAGACAAAAGTTGTGCTGCTCCATTGGGTACAGTAATAATTTTGTAAAGGTTTTTCTATCATCACAGAGAAAGCATTAGTATGGAGAATGACAGGATACTAACAACTAAGCACTTCTAGCAAACAGATGAGTACACCAGATGATTTTACTGACAACAGGTTGATCTGCTTAATCATAATGGTCAACCACTCACACACGTCTAAAGAGTACTATGAGCACAAAAGTATGATACACTGCTACAAAGTTTTTCGGTACTCTCTGATGATTCATCTAACCATACCACAAACTCTGCAACTGTTGGCAACTAATCTTTTGTTAACCTAACACATAACAAACAGTAGCCATTGAAAAAAATAAATGGCACTACACAAAAAAATCATATAAAACAGAAAAAAAATAATGATATTATAAATCCAAGAAATATCCTTAACGAAACAATGGTAATTACATAAAACAAATATCCATAACAAAACACAGAAAATTACATAACAGCAACAAATTAACTAAATTAGAAGCACAAGAAACATCCATTAAGAAACACTTTCTTTTTTCTTGGTCTTCTATCCATGTGCACAGCAATCCGTTTCAACTCAAAAAGCACCAGAGAATTTCACATTTCTTGGTATTGCAAAGTAACTTTGGATTGCTCTCCATGAAAACATGGACCTGCCTTACCTTAAAAAAATTACACAATTACACAAATTAAATTCTTGGAATGCATATTCCTATACTCTTTACTGCTAAGCATAATGGCCATATTTCTGGGGGGGGGAATGGAATTCTTTCTTTTCATTAACAGGCAAACTCTACAATGGTATTACAATTCATTACAAGCAATAATAAAAATTAAAAAAAAAAAAAAAAAAAAACTAATAACAAGCAGATATTATAAACATGATTCTCAAATTTAAAAACAACATGCATTATCACAGGGCATAATTAATGCACTACCATCAGTAGCTTGCCAGTTAAATATATTTTCGTGAAATTTTAGGTTGCCTACATTGACGACAATGCTTGCTTGGTAACTGTCAGGTTTCAGAGGATAATCAGAAAAAACTAGCTTTCCTTCTTATATTTGTTTGAAAATTATTTGGTTAGGTCAATTACAGTTGATTTTATAAAATTAACTTCCTTCTCAACAATTACTACTTCCACATGCAAATTTACTTCTTTCCATGCAGATATTCTTTACAGAATCTTCTCACAACTTATCTGCTCAAAATGCACATCAAAGTTGCTCCTCAATATCATTATAGAATTTATTCACTATACATCAACAACAAAGCTTTATAATTAAGTAAGAAGAAATCTTTCCTGATAAACTTGGTAATAACTTCCTGATAACCCAAGTCTTTTATGAAATAATTGGTACAGCATACATTATTTAATTGAAGAGTAGAGCACAGTACTCTCAAGTACAAATATTTTAAGCTCTAAATTTATTTTAAAATTTCATATTAGTAAAATTATTCATACTTCACAGAATATTAGATCATAACTACATTTATTTTCAATCAGTAAACCTGCTAACTAAGAAGATCTGCTTTTGCTACTTTATTAAGTCCTATATGATTTAGCTTATCTAGCATGAAATTCAGGTGCACGTGTATGTGATTATGGCAAAGCCTCGAGGGCTATCTGGACTTTCTTAGAGAAACTGGCTCGTATACATGAAACAACCATGCAGCCAGCCCATTTGCGGGATTCGAACCTCTGACCGAACGACCCAGTATTCAGCGACTTTACCGCTCGACCACTGGTGGATTCAGATGCTCATACAATGCTATCAATTTCTAAAATTCAAAATGCTATCAATTTATCGGAAACAAAGATTTTCAGGCAGTCCAATATCTGTCAGCCTGCAAGCAACCTCTGGTAAAACAGGAGAAGTCAGTACTGCATATACAGTAGCAATTACATCATTTTTCCATTAAAGAAAAGAAAGCAGCATATATAAATGCAAATCATTTATTGCAATATTTGCAGGCACAATAACTAACCTGGCATACAGTTTTCATTTTGATACATCCATATCACTTAATTCTCATCTAAGTGAATAATACTACTTGTACAATGCCATTTTGAAACCCATTCATTCATTCTTAACGACACTTAATTCTTTTAAATTTAAGTTTACTCAGGTTTAAATGCAGTAATTCATATTTGTTTTCTGCAACATTTTTCACCCTGAAATCTTGCTATAAAAATTACAAATAAAATTCTTGATCTGGATATAAAAACTCAAGCACACATGGAAAAATTCTTTAATAAATCTCTTTCCCACTTTTTAATTAATTCATTTTAGAAAACCCCTACATTTTACATGCCAGCTTTATTACACATAAGATAAAGTTAATGCTTAGAACATTTATAAACTGACATACCCCTGAGAAGTTAAACATCAGACAAAAAACTTACAATTGGTTATGAAAGTGCTAATCAATAAACTTTTTCAAAATATTCAGAATTAAATTATTGTATCAGATTTACATTTTAATTATATTTGATTGCAGAATCATGTTGCTTTCAAATGAAATAATATTCCTCTAAACACAAGAGAGGATACCTTCTATTTATGTTTATTTTTCAGGCAGGTGACTTCCTAAGATATTGCTGAAATGTACAGGGGTTGGACAAAAATATGGAAACACCTTTAAAAAAACATGTTTCTTTGCTTAATATAGTGCAGAAACCCGTTGGCATCCAAAACAGCTTGCAGTCTTCTCGGAATGGATAAATACAGTTCCTGTATGTTTGCCAAGGGAATATTATACCATTCTTCCTGCAAAACGGTGGCACGTTCAGATAACGATGTTGGTGGTGGATAACGAGAACGCACTTTCCGTTCCAATGTAGACCACAAAGGTTCGATAATATTCAGGTCTGGTGACTGTGGTGGCCAGGGGAGATGGGACAACTCATCCTCGTGCTTAGAAAACCAGTCCTGGACAATGTGAGCTGTGTGAACAGGGGCTTTGTCGTCTTGGAAGACACCATCATAGACGCCACCTATATATTTCATTAAAATCAATCTTTCTTTTCAAACATGCATTTCACAAGGTGTTTCCATATTTTTGTCCATCCACTGTATTTCCAAACATTAAATAACTTACATTAACCACAGTCTTTTTTACAATATAATGATACACACTAACTTACTTAATTTAGACAAAACAAAATCTAAGAAAATTAAAAAGCTCAACAACAATCAAATAATTATTAGCTTTCCTTCAGACGAAGAATCCCAGAAATATAGAATGAGACTAACAAAAAATAACATTCTATGGATGAAATTTCGCTCAATTTCAAAACTACGAATTAAAGCATGACAAAAGATCTAAATTCTCATGTTTAAGCAAACATACATGCTAATTAATTAGCAATAAAAGTCACTTTATTTAATCAAAACATTACCTTTTGCAAAAGAGGATGAATCTTTTCCACTGGCAAAACAAGAGGAGATTTCTTCTTTCCTTTTTCTATGGCATTCTGAGCATCACCAATAGCCCATTTGTCAATAGGGTGTGGAAATGTTTTCTGCACCCGCTCTTCCACATCCTGAACAGTGTGGGGCTGTGCAGCACACAACATGCCCAAGAGACGAAATATTAATGTTTCGACATATCTCAAGGCATCATCTTTTGCTGTTAAAGAGGGGTGAACTTGAAATTGGACCTAAAAAATATCCACCAAATAAACATAAATATTGTTAACATTTATATGCATTATTGGCTACTAATTCACTAAAACATAAAGAAATGCATTTTTGCATTCAGTAAGGATTTTAACAATAACTTCATGTTCTGCAGTTCAAAACCAAAAGTGTTCCAAATAGGCACTTAATTTCAAGAACCTTCATTTAGTGTTATATTTTTTTCATACTTGTGGGATGAATTAATTTCACTGAATTTAGTCTCATTAGCATACACTTAATACTACGAAACAAATTAAATTAACAGCAATTAAGGAAGAATCAGTAAAACTTAGCAATAAAGAATATAACACATTTTTAGATGCAATGCAGTTTTCAGGCCTTTAGAAACAATTAAAAGTAAATTCAATTAAAATTAAATCAATTTAATTAAAATCAAGTCTCGGATTTTATGAACAAAAAATTAATTAAAACTACTTTCCAAAAATTTTTATTAATGGAAATTAGATCAGCACATGACAGAAGACTAGTGTTATGAAAAGTAATCAACACAATAACAATTACTATTTAAAGTAAAATTATAAAAAATTAATTTAATTAGATAAACAGAAAATGAAAATTCAAAAGACAATATATGCTCTCTTTCACTATGTTTATTAGAACATATATCTGTTAACTGAACAAAGATGGCCACATCTTTTAAAAAAATCCTACAATATAAGCATAATAAATAATATCAAATAGCTACGGAATTTTTTTTAAAATTATGATTGAAAGACATCTAACTAACATGTTATATCATAATAAAATAAATGAAAAGTTACCCTAGTGAAATCAAGAGAATTTCTATTAAATTAGAATAAATTGTACTCAAGATGAAATTAAAGAATGATTTACAAAATAAATGTTTGTACTAAACATAATGGATAAAATACCAATTAATTCATGAATTTTTTCAGCATTTATTATTCTAGTATTATAAGATCATCCCAAATGTAATGTCATTTATTGAACTAATAAAAAAGAAAGAAGATACTAAATCAACAATATATAATCTTCATCTAACTAAATAACTTCTTTCTTCTTTAATCCAATGCTGTAATAAGTTTTTTTATGCAATTCTTAAATCAGCCAGCTCAGGGGACACAATGTCTTGATAGGCAGTTTTAAGTGTTCCATGTGAACTGTATCAATGAAGTTTTGCAAGCTTCAAACCACCCGTCACCTAAATGGTTACAAACAAGAGAATTTTCTTCACAATGAAAAACAGCACAAGTGCTTACACATTCTCTTCCATTAGTGTCACTAAGATCATGTGGAATCCATTCGCCCAATATATAAATGATTCCACCTTTCTTCAAATGGTGAAGAACAGGCAATGATAATTAATCTTCTCTGCAACTCTTAAACAATTGTACAGTCAAAAGTCGTTAATTCGGACGCCCATAATCCGGAATGATCTATAATCTGCACCTCAAAGCTAAAAACTTTCTGCGCATGCGCCGCGTTGACACATGCGCGTAAGACCTCTTACCACTGCGCATTTGCGTGTGTGCAAGCGCAGAATACGTTTTCGCGTGCGCGTTTTATATATAAGGAACGGTATAAGCTAAAATTATCTAATTATCTATTTCAGTTAATGTTGATGATTGCGTTGTTCCTTAATTTTCGAATTGGATCCGGCTTATTATTTTTTGCAGACTGTAAGAGCAATACTATAAAAGTAAACTTGAACTTTCGATCATGTCAAATAGAATTTCCGAATCTGGAGCTCCCAAAGGATCATACAAAACGAAAGTATGTTTCAATGTCCATTAAACAAAAAGTGGAACTGCTGCAAAAAATGGATAAAGACATGAAGAATGTGACAAAGAGGTTAGTGAAAACGAATTTCGATTGACAAGTTAGTCGGTATTCTCGGCATGGCAATTAACGGAACTTGGAACAGCGGAACTTTGTAACTGAACAAAAAATTATGTCTGTTTATAGAATTAAAGAGAAAGTATTATCACATAAAACGAAGCAACTTAAACAACTTACATTGGAAGAAATGTTTAATAAAGTAAACAAATAAATATTAAGCTTTTTTTTTTTTTGTAAATGTTGATACCCTTTAGATCATAATTGTTCTTTATTTCATAAATTACGGTTTCATATTTTTAATTTTAGAATTTCTGCATGCCATCTTACGCGATTTAAACTGATGATCTATAATCCGGAATCGCCGAAGTCCCGACGAGTCCGGATTAACGACTTTTGACTCTATATAGATTTCTTTCAATTGCAGCTTTCAGCACACCGTTATCACAAAAGACAAGGTGCACACAGATATCTTTAAGCTGAGATCAATTTGCTAAAATTTACAAAATCACTGTTGGTATTCGTGAATATTCAAAATTCCTTTACCATATACTTCTTAAGCTTTTGCAGCACTTTTGCTTTTTTTTTACACTCATAAAGCACAATATGTCTAATGTACTCTTCTTCGACTATCATCTTCATACAGGGCTATTAAAGCAACAAATTAGCACTTACAAGCTTGCAAGCCAGAACTTAACCTGAATGAAGCTGTCTCTGCTGAGCGGTAGTTATACAGAAATAAAAATTACTTATTTAAATGCAGTAGAAACATATTTTAACATGCCTTGTCTAAAAAACAACATTACTTTTGGGATGACATAATATTTGGAATTTCTGAGACAGTAATGCTGTTCAAAGCTGCTTTGTTGTTTTGAACTTTAACAGTTTTGCAAAAAAAAAAAAAAAAAAAAAAAAAACCCTCTCTCCTGTACGTCCCATTAATTAAATCTCTTAATAACTCAGCTTAACACACCATTATCACTACAATCCCCTTTATCTTTTATAGTATGTGCAGTGTTTTTCCAGTTTTAGAAGATGGAAACATGTACTACAAGGGTTATTTTCACATTACTTGCACTCTGTACTTATCCTAATATTATTGCCTTTAGTGTTATTTTAGGCTTTAAGCATTCTGGCTTATTATAATTTAATAAAAAATACATTAAAAAATAAAGTTCAATCAAAACCTTTTCAGAAAACTGAATTGTTGTTGTTGCTTATCCTTGAAAGATATAAAATGTGAAATCAGCTGCAGAAGGTTGTTGAATGCCAAAACATCTATAATAAGGGAAATCAGATGTTAAGTTCCCCTTAGAAAGTCTGATGCAGCTTAGAATGCGATTCAGTGAAGCTGGATGTCATAGCATTTTTTACAAATGGGGTGGATTTTTCTGCTGCTATCAAAGGAAAGACATTTAAGGTGGCCACTCGTTAGTCTAGTCAGAGCAGTCTGGGAGCCATGGTGACATTTGATTTCCAGCAGAGAGCAAGGGGATGTTCTTGTGTATCTTTAGTGCATAGGTGGAATATGCCATATTAAACTGAGTTTGGATCTTTCCTTTGAGTATAGTTCTTGATACGTAAGCGAAGAGCCAGTGGCCGTTTCATTCTCACTACCCTCTTTGGCCAGTCTATCAGTGACCTCACTACCATCAATGTTAACATGTGATGGGATCCATTGGAAGTGGACATGTGGGTCTGAGAGATCTTTCTCAGTTTGAGCAGAATAAATATGCTGGTTTCATCCTTTGCAGAGGACCAGCCACTAAGATGTTGTAGTGCACTGCGGTTATCCGATAAAATCCATAGTTCCCAAAATCACAATCACAAAGACATGATGACACAAAGACAAAATCACAAAGACATGATGGCATCAAGTCTTGCATTAATCGCAATTAACTTGCACCTAAAGACAGAACAAGTGTGAGGGTTGCATTGCTTTACTGCAGTCTCTAACAATAGGTTCTAATAAAAAAATATATTACTGCCAGTACAATCTTCCGTACAACTAACCGTCTGATTACGTTAAGTCTAGTAAGTGAATAAACATAATACATAATTTATATTAAAAATAACAAATTTCCTTCTTTCTTTATTAGCAATTATATTTTGGAAGACTATAATATGTCCTCTACTTATGAACTTTCATTTCTATTTCCAGCTATGAATTTTACTCAGTAATTAAAAAAAATAACTTGGAAATTACCCATTAAAAATAAACTGAAAGCTTCTTTAGCTATTTAATACATGCCATTTGTGACAAATGATTTAGATTTGCAGAGTTCAAATGTTTGAAATTTGTGTACTGCAGTAATAAGGCCTCCTTCAAAGCTCTCATACACTATTCCCAACTCTCATACTTTCTTTCATAAACATAAAAGGATACCAGAAATTTCAATAACTATTTTCTAATTTTCACTGACATAAAAAGTCATATAAATTGCTCTTTAGCAATTTTTGAAAGCTATCTGATTTTGACTTTACTGCACACAAAATAACATGTCAATCATGTCAACTTTTTAAACTGCCAGATACCCTCTCCTTGTCTCAAAAGTCATAAAAAATACACATAAAGGAAAATAAAGGGAAAATTACCAAATATATTGTTCAAAAAGAACAAACTTATTCCTATAAATAGTTCCCCCCCCCAAATGGTAAACATACATACTAAGTTAAAATTCTCACTCATGGCTTCTTCTGAAGTGTTTATCAGTGAACATTCTCTCTTGATGCTCCAGCAATAGTCAGCCATCACATGCATATTCATCTAAATTTGTACCATGCCTTCACTACCTTCAAAACCTGGTAGAATCACTCACCCTGATCATCACTGACTGCATCAAAATTTTTCAGGAAATTATCAAGATGGATATGTAAAAAATGCAATTTGATGCTCATATAGTAATCAAGTTTTTTGAAGCTCTCCAAAAGCTGCTGTACTATTTCACTGTAATTCAGTGCTCATGTATTTCCAAGAAAGCCTTTAATAATGTTTTTGAATGCCAACCAAGCATTCTTTTTTTTAAAGTATTGCCATTTTTTCGATGAAATGCTCATCTTTAAAAAGTTGACAAAACTGTAAGCCATCAAACACAGGCTAGGAAATGCCAGAATGAGATACATGAAATAATCTCATTCAATTGGTGAAGCTTTAACAAATTTCTTCATGAGACCAAGTTTTATATGCAGAGGTGAAAATGTACTGTTTTTTTCTGTTGCTAAGTGGCTAATGTAGAATGTTTGGATCACCAGGTTTCAGGTCAGATGTTGGTAGCCACACCGACTGCATGAAATGCTTCTCACAAACTCTGCTGTCCCATATATACAGAAAACAAGGATATTAAGCATATAATAATGAGTTGCTAGGTTGGTGTCAAGGGTATCAATTATTCAGTAGGTGTAAAGCCAACAATGTTTCAATGTAGAATGTATCAGTTTAAGATGTATGCTAAGCAAAAAGGGAGCTACAGAACCAAATTATTGATCATATAAATTTATGATAATAAATGTTTGTTTCTTCAGTATAATGATATTTTATTTAGTACGGAGTGAAATTAAGAATGGGTAAAAACATACCACCAAAATAAATAAATAAATAAATATTGCTGGCTGTCTAAAGGTTTGGATTTTAGATTATTCCAGATATTGGACATCTGGATTTTGGACAACTATACTTCCAGTTTAACCAGAATTTTTTTAATTTCACACACAATTTGAAGATATACTATTTTATGAATATTAATTACTAATTCATCTCTCACAACACATTTTAGAGAAGAACAAATCATTAGATTATCTCTTAACATGTACCGAGAAGTAGCTATCAATAACAGAAGATTTTGCAGGTACAAGAGATGATCTTGAGGAAAAATTCAGTTCTTTAATCCCTTTGAAGACACAAGATTTTTGCCACAATTTCTAAACATATATACAACATTTTTCAGCAGTTAATGCAAATTTAAGGTTGAGTTTTGCCCTATTTTTAAAAATTTGTCTGGCTTCTTTTGATACTATTCTGTTTTAGATATTTTTAAAGGACTATATACGTTCGACAGGGTTGCTACTGAAACAGGAGAATGAAATTCCCTCACTTTTCCAGGTTTTCCAAGAAAACTCCAGGCTATCCGCGTAACACGCATGAGCTGTGCTGAGGGTAACTTAATTATGGTACCACTTGAAAAGACAAAAATTTGACAATTACATATATATATATATATATATAATTCCCAAAACATTTACTATTATAACTATAATAGGAGCTGGTTTCTCCACTAAGGACTAAGATTAGAATCTGCCCAATCGGGATTAAAAAACGTCTTTTCTGCAGACATTTTGCTCCTAAAGGAAGGAAAAAAATTTATTTAATCATATTTTTAAACTGAATTACAAAAACTGACGGTATTTTGGTGAATATAGATATATTTAATGGTTAACCTAGATGACATTATTATTACTATTTTTTTATTATTTTTTATTTTACTGCAAAATGACAAATAACGCACTTAAGAAAGAAAAAAATGTTTAAAACATTTCGTTTTATACGAGAAGGGAGGGAATTTATTTTTGTTCAACATTGAACATGCGCATGAGAGTCTCTGGATTATCGAGGTTACTGGACACCAAAGATGCTGAAAACTTGCTTTGCCTTTTTAAAAGACAATCTGACTGGCACTGCAAAAATTAGCTCTACACCAGTTGTCAAAATGACACTCATGCAATACATAATTCGGCAATAAAGTGATCGCTTCCAACACTGGAAAAAATCACTTTTTGGGGGATCACCATATGAAATTCACTGACTTTTTTGGTCAATTTTCGAATTCCCCTACTTTTCCCGAGAGAATGGCAACCCTGTTTCAATAATTAGATTTGAGTAAGTATTTTTTGGAAAGAATAACATTTCTTGCTGTATATTGGAGGTTAACATACAACACTGGTGACATACTTGCGCACAGTACAAACGCTTCATGAAACATTGCTAATATACCATATTCTGAAAATCAGTCTTACTTTTTGGATGAAAAAATGGAATAGTGCACTAAATTATTATCTTTGAGTAGACATTAAATATATTTAAAATGAGCTGAAATAGATACCTTTGCTAAAGCACTTAAAAGGAGGCATTTCCATTTCCCAGCATTTTCCTCGCTATCAAAATCATAGATCTGATCAACATCTCGACTTGAAGCAAACATGTCAACAGCATATACAAAAGTATGGAGCAATGTTAACAGCTCAGCTAGGATCCATTTCAAAAATGAATAACTTCTTAAACAAAAGTATCATCTGAAACAAAATAAATAAATCAGATCCAAAATATTTTCAACAGTTTTTACAGATAGAAAATATAATAATGTTATAACTTAAAATATTACATTTCTTTGAATCTAAGAAGCACCTTTTTGCCTATATAATCAAATCAACACATTTCAGTGTGTTTTCAGCACATATTAAATCCAGTGCTGTCCTAAAATCAATTTAAATAAAAATACCATTGCTTTTAAATTAGATTGTTGAATAATACTTCTTAGAAGCATTTTAGCATTTAATTTTATTCATTTTGTTTTCTTACAATCAGTCTTCTCCATTAGTGAGTATGAAATTAAAGGTACGTTTAGTGCCGAAGTGAAATTAAGAACTGGTAAAATACATACCCCCCCCCAAATTGTTGGCAGTCCAGATGCTAGGATTTTAGATCATTTTGGATTCTGGTTATTTGGATTTGAGACTTTATTTGCATGTTTGTTGTGTACTATATTTCCAGTTTAACGTGGATTTTTTTATTTTTGCACACACCTTGAAGACACGCTATTTTATGAATACCAATAACTAATTCATCTTGCATAACATATTTTAGAGAAGAATGTTCAACACAAATCATTAGTTTATCTCCTCGCATGTAATGAGAAGTAGCTATCGGTGACAGATGATACCTTAGAATCAAAGCAACATGGCATGTTTCTTCAAATGCATTTAAACACAAATGCACTCTTTTAAAGTATCGCACATTATTACAATAGCAATACAATAATTCAATACATTTTTCTGTTTATTGATAATTTCACTATAAAAAAAATTCTACACAAAAACTCAAATATAATACCAAACAGATATATTTTATCTTGTTTTTTAAATTTCTTTCATGTAAATACTCAGTTTATAATATAATAAATAGTTTATAGTCAAAATAGTTTATAATATAATTTGTTTAAGATCTGAAGTTTTATGCCAGAATTATTCTCATTTTTCATACGAATATTTAAATAAAAAAATTAATCTTTTATTTAACTCTCTGACTATGAATTTAAAAAAAATTACCCTGTTTTCTATCCAAGTGAACAAAATATGTCATAAATAAAGTAAATTTAGCATCTGGGCTTACAGCCATAACCTAGCAGTAAATTTTAAACATTTAGTTGGATATATATATATGTCCTATTAGTAGTCAAAGGGTTAAACAAATGAATGCATATAACAAAATAACCAAGTAAAGACAACTATCTATACCTTTATTTAGAATTTTAAGCCAAATCACACTTAGAAAATATATAAGACTGAAAATATAAAAAATCAAATACTAATGATATGATGTTTACACAAAATTACAATGGCTCACATCTGTTTTTGGACATGTGTCTTAAAATTTATTTCCAAATATTAGTTACTAAATCAAGAAAGAAGAGAATCACAGCAAAGCAAATAATATAATTAAGCAAAGCAACCTTGCGTTTGGTACAGATTTAGTAAAGTCTATATCAATTTTGGGGGCAAACATGTATAGATCCATCTTCATCAGGAGCAAAGAAATCTGCAACAAAGGGTAAACCATAGTTGTATTTATACCTAAAAGGTGTAAAATGAACAAGAAGGTAGTGCCATCTGTCAGCAGAAATAATATTATTCATTATTTAATGAAAACTGAAAAATTTACTAAACAGAATTTTAAACATGCTAGGAACTACTGGATTGGATTGTGAAAAGCTTCAAGAATATCCAGTTCACCAATGAATGGGGGGGGGATGAATTCAAACAAAGCAGTATTGAGGGGTGAGGGGTGTTTTGTGTTATGAAAGCCTTAATATCAACATCTCGAATTTTTTTGGAGTCGTTTTTAGGCGGGAATTTTATTAGTAGCTTGACTCATCTTTACTTAGACCTGCACGAATTTTTTGCTGTCACATTTTAGTCTCATTTCCGTTTATTTTCAATAATTGTGTAGATATTTTTCGTGTATGTATATATTATAGGCTTATTTTTCTTTATTATTAACATAAATCGTAGTTAATTTTTTTATTATTAATTTTCCATAAATGGCGCGGAGAGGTCTAACTCTTTCCAAAGCGTTAAAAGTGTTTCATGAATTACCCTCGGATTATAGCCCAAAGATTTCCGTTTAAATTTGCTACGTTCCCTCTGTGCCATGAAACCGTCAGAGATAACTTTGAAGAGGTGACTTCCTGCAAGACCTGAAGATACTCCCAGGCATACAGTAAAGGTTTCCGGGGGAAAACGCTACAGTAGTGTTGAACGCATACCAGTGAAGGGTACGCGTAGACGATGTGCACATTGTAGCACGAAGCAGAAGCCGCACAAAACAAGTTTTATGTGCAAAACCCGCAAAGTTGGTTTGTGCTTCCATCAAAAGGTGTGACTTGCTTTGAACAATTTCACGAAGCTAAGAAATAGGAAAATTTAATATTTTTGTATATAGGACTTGTGTATATAGATAATCTCATTTATCCGTATATATTCAAGAATATTGTGTATATCCATGAAACCATATATACAGCCATAATACAGAGTTTTTTCTTTCTTATACAAACACTTCTACTCATTTTTGTGCTTCACTGCAATGCTCACTTAGTCGCACTTTTAAAAGCTCTGGCGATGCAGTGTTCCACCTCATGGAACACACACAGAATTAAAACGGTAAGTGCAATTTTTACAAAATTTTACTTGTATACTCCTTTAGGACTAAACAGACTGCATACAACTTTTTTTGTTGAAATTCCGACATTAACTTATAGTGTGCCGCAAAGGGTTAAATGCAAGAATTATTTCAATTCATATGAATAGCTTACTCAGAAATTATGTAAAACTGCAATGATTTACTTCATTAGTGCATTTTCATTAGATTTGAAGAATTTAACCCTTGATTTTGCCTTTTCTATATTTTCGCCTTCGCGTGAGTGGTGTGATTGCATCCTAATTAATTACCGCGAATAGTCTTAGGGCAAAAAATTTAACTATCTTGTAAAAATTCTATGTAATTGTATGCCAATAATGAAAGAAAGAATCAATCCGATAAGAAACGGCTGCGACTTATTTTGAAAATGAAGGGTAAAAGGTTACCAGCGAAGATATTCCGGTTGGCATCAGTTGTACCATTATTGGGGACTTTATCGTTTGCGCTGGCAAAACGGAAAAGTACCAAAAAATCATATTGCTGCCATGGGCAAACCACATAAAATGTGCGCGGCAGCCAACGTGTTAATTCTTGGGGAATTTATAGCAGATATTGTTAGTGTGGTTGGAGATATATTGGCCAAACTAAAAGAGCGTTCAAATTTCTCATTAAGGAACATGAATCTTGTTCCCGAAAAGGTGAAATTAGCAAGTTTTTGATAGCTAATTGTAGTTGGAAATTTAATCACAATTTTGAATTTGGGTCAGAAAAAAGTTATCCAGAAATCAATCAGAAGTCTTCATCAGGATTCAAACAGAATTTTAAACATGCTAGGAACTACTGGATTGGATTGTGAAAAGCTTCAAGAAAATCCAGTTCACCAATGAAAGAAGCTTTCTGGATAATTACTGGATAATTCGTAGATTACAAGAATAGTCTTGCAAATTGCTCAAGTTTTCATTTTGATCATTTACTGCCCTTGTCTGTTATTCCCCATCCTTCTTTAAGACAACCAGCGCAGATTCTAGATAGTATGGACACCGATGAAAATTCATTCTCAGTTATGTGCTATACAGATGGTAAGTAGAATTGATGACAAAGTTGGTTTTGCTTATGTCATTTTTGAGAATGGTGCTGAAATTGAGTACCACCAATTTCGTATTAGAAATTAACGTACTGTTTATATTTCTGAGCTTCTTTGTGTTAATTTTGCAATTAAGTGCATACTTAGCCAGGATGGACGTGATTCCAGGTATCCAGCTACTTAATCTGCATGGATTCCCACTCTTCTCTGGAATTCCTTAAAAATACTTCATCATGTAATGATATTATTGTTAATATATAGCAGTCTCTCAGAGATCTGCAGAAGAAGGGTAATTCAGTGTTTTTTTACATTTGTCCGTGGTCACCCGGGTAATTATGGAAACGAGAAAGCTGATTGGCTTGCTGAGAATGCAAGTAAAAATTATATTAATGTTGAAATAAATATTCCAAAATCGTATTTAAAAAAAAAAAAAAACATTCAAAGCTAAAATGATTAAACAATGGAATTCTGATAATATCTCTTCTGATAACGGAGCTGTTGCAAATGAATTCTTCCCAACTATTTTTGAAAGACTGAAAAGTAAGGACTTGCTGCTCAATTTTAATGTTAACACAAATTCTGTCTGGACATGGTAAGTTCAAATTTTATCTCGAATGGTTTAAGCTGACGTCTTCCAATTTGTGTTATTGCAATCTTTGCGTTCAGCAAAGCATTTTCCATCTGCTTTTTGATTGTCCATTGCTTGCTTGATAATGCAAGAAATCTATTGAAATGCAGATTAAAATTAACTGGAATTCATTGGCTGCTGAAATGTAATGATTTTGTACCTTCATCTTCGGCCTACCGAGCTTTTGACGATTTTGTTGACTTTTATTTTAAACATTGTAAATGATCTCTTATATATATATTCTTTTCTTTGTGTTTGATTTCGCTGTATTATTGAAAGTTGATGTTATTACTTAAGATATGTAAGCCTCATGTGATACTTTGTGGTGCACAAGGATTTCATTTCCTTAAAAAAAAACTGGCTTCTATGTAATTCAGCACAAATGTAACAAACTCACAAAAATTGTGATTAAAGACCTTTCCATCAGCTGCTCAGTTGTTGGTTGCACTTTCTTCCTATAATTTTAAAGTCCTAAAAATTGTGAAGTTGAGAAATTTTAAAAGCAGATCTTCATCTTTTAGACTCAATTAACTGCTACTCTCAATATCAATAATATCGATATATCTAATTCATAGACAAATAAATTGCTGCATTATTTATAAAAATTGAGAAGTTCAAGTCAAATTTTATTCCACAATGTTACACTGTCAAAATATTGGCCATTCTTT